TTTACTCGTCATTATTCACCCTGCAACATATCAAATAATATTAATATAATACATGATCACACCGTAGAATATATAAAAAATATCTAAAGCAATGTCGTATTGCACACACGCACGCACACACACACACATATATATATACACCGTATGTATTGTACTTGTAATGTGTACACCGTATATGCTATATTGTTTCTGCATCATGGAAAATATCAAAAAATGCAATTCAAATGAAGGTTTAGGGACGTACAAAAATGACTGGTGGTGTCAACCAACTTATACCGATGGACACGCGGTACAGTAAGCAACAAGCACAGGGACTACAAACAACATGAAGATCATTCCGGAACCTCACGATTCTGGACAGTCATCTAGAACTCCAAATCCTAGTCTTAAAATGTCGATAGAACAAACAAACATCCGACTCTCCTGAAACAACGGTGTTAAAAGGCGACACAAATGCAACATTTGGACAGGATCAAGAATCAGAACATCTCAAAACTATGGTTTGGCAGAAGGACCCAAGACAAAACAAGTTAATAGTCAGCCGAGTCTAAACCATGGTGGGGAGGTTCCTACCATCGGATAATCCACTTTCTGGTTCAGCCATATTCAGCCCAAGCATCCATCAGTGAAGAAGTAGAAAGAAGCTCCTGTGCAAAGATTTGGAGTGGATTGGTTTCAGGGTTTCTTTTACCTGGAAACCATGGTTTTCACGAGCAACCTAATAGGGGGGTTAGCCTTCATGTTTTTCCCATCATCGAATTCTGGCACACTGATAGGCACGATCTTGAGATGCAATATACTGGATATCCACCAGGTATACTGTCAACGGGAATTTCAGGATTTTAGAATGGAGGTACTGTACCATATAAGGCCATATTTTGTGGGGATATTCCCTTACTTACATAGGCCTTATATAGGCCTTATATAGGCCTTATATATTGTAGGCACCTCGAAATTAGGTTCCTGAAATGGCCATTGATACTGTGTATCCTACAGGATCTATAAAGCTAGAGAAATATCCATATATATCCCCGAAACATAATGGATGTCCGGCGGGAAAAAAAAATAATATGTATATATATATATATATGTATCCTAAAGACATACAGTACTATATCACTATATCATACTATCTCCAAGTAACAGAAAACCTCTCCAAGTCACAAATCACCCAAAGAAACCGGATATCTAACGAAATCCTTTTGGAACATACATATATATATATATAGAAATATCTAGAAATACAAGGTGTGGCCCCTGAACGATCACTAAGTTGGTAAACAGTTCACCAAGATAAAAAGTTAACTATGTTCACTAGGTTACATTGACCTTTGGTGTTTGCTGCAATAAATGCAAAATCAAACTGTAGTCTTGGCGTAAGATCAACCAACAATAACCAACATGTAGCCAACACCCAATCCACTCCTGAGATGCTGAAGCTGCAAATGCTCTGAATAAAGAAGAAGGCATTCACTTTCGCCACAATGGGCGTTAATGTCACCGACACTAAGCCTGGTGATTGGATGCAAGAAAACACAGAAGGATACACGGCAACACATGCATAATATACTACATACATACTTATATATATATATATATACATATATATACATATATATATACATATATATATATATACATATATATATGCACTGTAAATAAAAAAATAAATAAATGAATAATTGAACAAATAAATGAATAAATAAATAAGTAAATTCAAAAAAAAAACATGTATATATATATATATACATTGACGCAAATTATAGTATGTGCACTATATACCTATGTGCACTATATGTCATTTATATATGCGTGCATAGGTACTAATATTGCACGTATACAGATGGATTATCGTTCATGAGATTGCCAACATGTTCGAAGCTGTCAAGGCATCGTTTTGGGAATCATCCAAGACTGAACTGAACAAAACAAACTTACTTCCACCTTGCACACCATCGTGTATCGTTAGGTGGTTGTGAGGTCGTGACAAAGCCCATTCATGCCCATTGCACGATATTCCATTGCACAGCACCTTCGCTACCACAAGGGGCCCAGCCTACTAGCTATAACTTGGCTATTTGAAATTCAAAAGCATCCATTCAAACTGTAGGTGATGTAGGTGCCTGTCCCTTTTCTACACCTATCATATGGAAATCCACCATAGTTCGATGATTTTCCCAGCTATGCCCAAGCCTTGCCATTGAGTTCGATATGATGTTGCTTTAGTAGATTCCCATCTAAATCCATTACCCGGCCTGGTAAACATACAAAAAACTATTGAACATGGCCATTCATAGTTGACTTACCACTTAAAAATGGTGATTTTCCATAGTTATGTGAAAGTTTACCAGAGGGTAATATCCCATTGTTACCCCCTGAATGTCTAGATGGGAATATATTAAATGGAGTTGGGGTTTTTAGACCCTGTCTGGAAATATTAACATATTACTATGGGTTTTAATCCATATAATTCCCATCTAATATATTATAATTCCCATCTAATATACCCTCTGGTAATTTAACATAGCTATTGAAAATCACCATTTATAGTGAATTTTCCCATGAAAAATTGTGATTTTCCATAGTTATGTGAAAGTTTACCAGAGGGTATTCCCCATGAATGTTTAAAAGCCACCGTCTTCCGACCCTGTCTCAAAAAACAGACCGGGCGGCTCAGCGCAACAACTGCAAGGATGCCAGCGCAAATCGCCTTTTTGTCCGCGACGACAGTCGGTCAACCGGTGGGATTTTAACGGGGATTAATTTTTGCCTGGTTAGTTGGTCCCAAATTCGTGGATTATCCCACTAGATTCCATTTTCTTTTAATAAATGGGATTCTGGTTGGTGGTTGACCTACCCCTGAAAAATATGAGTTCGTCAGTTGTTCACCTTATTCCCTATGGAAAAATCATCAAAATGTTCCAAAGCACCAAGCAGATTTTTATGAGAAGATCATGGGAAAATCATGGGATCATGGAAAAAACATCGAACTCGGGATGTGATGGATTTTAATGATCGATGAATCCTTTGGTAATCAAACATGGCTGGGAAATCCTCGAAGTAAATCTGGGTAGATGATAATATTTCACTAACCTGAATTAAGGCCATTTGGGGATGATGTCCCTTACAAACCATGATTTCCAGTGAGGGAGAACACTGAGGTCGTTACAATTTACCCAAGAATAAATGAAGGTTTAACCGGAAACTGATCGAAATGGAGGATTTTCCGGCAAGCCATGAGAAATTCCTGGAAAGGAAAGTCACCTCTGAGCGCTTCATCCCAAAAAAACTTGGCCATTGGACATGCCCGACTTGTTCATGGGGTAATAATTTAACAATGGGATGTTAATGGACTTGAATGGTGATGAATGTTTTTCCGAATTCCTCTTCAACATGTTGACTTTCCGAATTTCTCCTGTTGTTCCTGTACATGACCAGGCAAAAACAACAAATACCCTCTGGTAAACATACAAAAAACTATGGAAAATCACCCTTTTGAGTGGGTAAATAAACTATTTCTATGGGCAGATCATCAACAGCATCACGGTGGCCTTGGTGTAGAGGTTGCCGCCAAAGACGGAGAGCAAGGCCAGACTGAGAGCGCCCAAACCAATCACCAAGCCCACCTGGGATGATAATCACCGCAGCAACCTGTTTGAAACCATAAATTGGGATCACTGTCGAGGTTAGATACAGTATATATTTACGTATACTTACGTATATAAAATTATATGTACCAGTATGTAATTATTTAATATAAATGTATATGGATTGGGATTCAAAACTGGGATGGCTACAGTGTAACATAGTGTAACCCATGTGCTACCTATCAGCCCTGGCTGATCTTAGTATGTTCATCCCCTTGAAAAATGATGTTGGATAGGTCACAAAGCACCCGCAGAATCAAACTCAGAACCAAGCAATGCCCATATTGGGAGGAATATCATTCATGTTCCAACAGGATTTTCTTGGGTTCTTTTGGTTTTTGAGCCGGTGGCAGCTGCAAGTAGGTCTTAAGTGTAGGTTTTTTTGTCAACACATGTTCTAGCTTTTTCAAGTGCCAATATCCTCAAAGAAGGCGTGTACCAATCCAGTCAGTGGCAACCAGTTTGCCTGCTCCGGGATCATCCCCCGACCACCGGCTTGCAACCCGCCAATGCCAAGCGACAATGGCCAACGGCATTTCCTGGGCTTTTTTTGGGTCAAAACTTGATACATCATAGCTGTTGTACAGCTGGATCTTCATCCAAAAAAACGTTTGAGGACAATAACAGGCTTTGATCCCCATCTCTGAAGCAATAACAGCATGTAGTTCACATCCTTTTTGGGGCACGGCTGCCAGCTGGGTGAACCTTTTCTGAATTCAGTTCTGCCACCCTGGCACCTCAAACCTTTGGAAAGTAGATGTGATCTTTGTATTCAAACGAGCAAAGCCCCAAATGTGCCTCGGAATGTTGACAATATGCTCCAAAACTGCATCAGCAAACGCTACACTAGAGGCACAAACTTGCAGAGAGAGGGTGACACATTCGCAGCAACACTAATCGATCTGGTTCATCCCAAACAACAACGAATGTGTTTTTGTTCGTATATCCCAATTGGACATAATTACCCCAGAAACATCTCTTTTTCATGTAGGTTATGGTTAATATTCCCCCATCATGGTTGATTATGGGCCGAGCCGCAGAGCCACCTAACTTCTTGCAACAGCGCCCCCGGCGGCTCGTCCTAACCGACGAAGGTCATGGGGAAACGAACAATCTTACAAGTAGGATATGTTCGGGATATATATATAATATTATATTAAATTATATACATTGGATCAAATATGTATACCACATACATACATACATACATACATAACATTACATTACATTACATTACATTACATTACATTACATTACATTACATACATATATATATACATATAAATATACATTAAAAACATTGTGAATATATATATATATATATGTATGTGTATGTATTTATCGATTTATTTCTCATTTTGGGAAATAACCAATCATGTTACGCAACATTTTGTTGGATAGAACTAAAACTGGTGCATATATATATATGCGTATATATATATATATATGTATGTAGCAAATAGGCGGAAACAGCAACATGAGATGTGGGTGTGTCTGAATAATTACCCGAAAACGGCAACATTTAACAAGGCATATGATGATAAACCCACTTCCACTCCATGCCACCTTCATCTGCCCCATCGACTCATCACAAAAAAAGAACGAGCCATGAAAAATACACCCTATCTCGTAGCATTCTACTGGTTGGTGGCCAGGATTGAGGAATCCCCCGAAAAAACATCCGTTCACGTCACCTGACTCACCTGGGCCCCCGGACTCTTCAGGTAGATTCAGGAAGGTGATCAACAAGGTAAATGCTGCAGCAAGTGCAGCGATGAGGTATGGAGCGCGGTTGCCCACTTTCTCCATCAGAATTCCTCGGGGTCGGGAAACAATATTTCCAACAGCCATGTAACCGTGGATAGAAAAGGAAGAGCAAATTTGCAGCATTGAAGCCTGACAAAACTTTTAACATCGATGAAACTTTTTGCTGTATGCATGAGCTGTGCACTGCTGCATTGGATGCAGCATGATGCAGCATATTCTACGTCTCGAACATGGCTGGAAAACACCCCAGTTATGGCTGTGCGAGTTTGCACATGTTCCCATGGCCAGCGAACAAAATATACAAACACATGCTGCGAGCATCCCACAATGCTGGTGCAAAACAGCTTTCCGATACCAATCCCTGCGAGCATTGCAGGAAAACTTGGACTTGCAGGGCTTGCTATCTTTATCTCACGACTTGAAACGACCGAGAAAATTAGGAACAAGGTAGAAAAGTGGATTGGGTGCTATCACCTAAAAGTCGCGATCTTGAAATCTGCCAGGTCTGACTTCCCAATCAAGACAGAACATGTTCAAAATGGCATTCAATTGAACACATATATGGGATTATATGGGCAATTACCACCAAACCCACTGGTTTATCCCAAGAGCAAGTAACACACACACACACATGGCAATGTCTCGTGACATTCCGGGCCTCCCCAAATGAACGAAATCAAGCCTCAGCAAGGGTCAAGTTTTCACGCTGCACAGGGCCATGGGTCATTTCCCAGTGAGAAACACATGGATTTCCAGAGCTTTGTTAGTTCACGGGAGGGTAAGTGTGAGGCTCTAAGTCAAGTTTTCCACTTCGAACTCCAAGTCAGAGGTGGGTTTCTTTTGCTACTTCCCAGATAGCTCTTGACCAATCTTGCACAATATTTCAATTCATTCATTGCCTTCAGGCCATCAAAAAACTGCAACAGGATCACAGTGGTGTCATATGATATCATAATATATCATATATATGGAACTAATCCTTTCGTTCTATTACTAAAACTCCCCCAAATAAACAAAAATAGGATTGGTGTGGCACTTCCGTTCTTTTTTTGTTTGGGCACAATTGGATTCTCAATTGTGGTAATTGAGAATCAATGAGAACAGGATGGTGAAACAATGGGTTCAAGCCCCTATTAATAAAGATAGATTGCCACCTGGAGATTTTTTATTAGTGTCCCATCTCACAAGTTTTATTTACTATTTATTATTAAGGTTTTCATTGGGATATTAGGGAAGAGTTTCGAAATCAAGTTTTTGGCAATATTTTATATAGAGTAGATTTTAATAAGGGATTTAATCAAATGTGAAATCATTATTTTAATTTTTGTTATTAGGGTTTTCATTGGAAATATTGGAATATTAGGGGAAAACTTCAACATCCAGTTTTTAGCAATATTCTATAATTATAGGCCTGTAAAAGGGATTTAATCAAATTTGAAATCGAATTGTTTTATTCTTGTTATTAAGGTGTTCATTGGAATATTAGGGGCACCTTAATACAAAATGCAATCAAACAATCCCATAATAAAAATCGATCACCGTGTTTACCATTTGGGAGGGGGACTGGGGGGTGTTTTAGTAGTAGGGAGAGAGGATTAGATCTGCATCTATAAAAATGATAAAACATGAGTGACATACTGTAACTATACCATATTCACCTCCATCCTAACTAACCTCTTCCCAACCAGCGGAAAAAAAAAACGCCGCGTCCGAGGCACTGGGCCCCTGGTCCGGCTTCTCGCGCAGGTGGGTGGAGTAGACCGCTTCAGTCAACAAGTCACTCCAGGCGATGTCCTGGGATCTTGGTCCAAAAAACGTAGGGAAAACATGGGGAAAACATGGGAATTCATGGAAGAACACCATGGGGAAATTATGTGAAGAATTTCAGAATTTCATCAGCGAATCTGTCCATTCTGGTCAAGTTTTCTTCGCAAAAATTACATTGTTTTAAGTGATTCACCTGAGGTATCTGATAATTTAAACCAACTTTCCCCCAATTTCACTGGTTGATGCCGGTTGGTTCATTGATTCTACAGAGAACTTATCACAGGAAAAATAAGCTGAATTGGTGAAATGGAAACCTGAAAATGGATTCGACTGACTTGGGGAACTTAAGTTATCAGATCAGGAACTGTGTTAACAACCGGGGAAAAAACAGCCTAACATAGGCAAACCTTGGAGGAAAATGCAGGTTCCATGTCCATGACTTGGATGAAAATTCTGAGGGTGGAATATGGGTATGATACGGTATGATCGATGGTTAAAAGGTTATTTGTTGGGAAACACTTAGCCTGAAATCACCAAACGTAATGTGCTACCTTGGTTCCCTGGGTCCTCTATAAGGTAGGTTTGGGTTATTGAAGACAGAAATAAAACAAAAATAGAGTTGATACTGCAACGCTGTTGCCTTTTGTTTTCCTGGGTTTTCCATGTGTTTCCTTTTTTTTTCCTTATTTTTCTTAAAGATTGCACGCCAAGTATCACGGTGGAACACAATGGAGTACCACAAACTTTGTCAGAAAAAAAACATGTTTTTTTCTCTCTTCACGTTTTGCATATCGCAAGGACAACGCATTCCAAACGATGGTTTACGTAAAACAAAACAGTAATATAAAAATAGTAATATATAAAATATAAAACAACGCATTAACTAATTTTAAAAAAATAGTAATATATATATACATATTGATTGATTGATTTTTTGAGATATTCTTATTAATACGTTCCTCCTGGCAAAGGCAAATGTCAGAATATGTGTCCAATTTCTGTGACAACTGCCAGAAATCAAAGATACCCACAAGTACATGTGTCAGAAATACACACAAGTACACAAGTACAACCCTGGTCCTTGCTTCAAACCATGCAACCTTTTCAGGATTTGTCTAGTCAGACCATGTTTATTTCAGTATCTGTTTTTTCAGATAGATCCTTTTCAGGATGTGTCTTTCCAGACTATTTCCTTTTCAGGAGGTGTCTTTTCAGACTATATCCTTTTCAAGCCTTGCCTTGTCATATTACATCCTTTTCAACATTTGTCTTTGCTTACTATATCCTCCTCAGAAACAAGTGAAAGTCGCACCTTTTTTTCAGTGCAAACCTGACATAAATTTATAAGACAACTGACATAAAAAGAAAAACATATGAGACATCCTGACATAAACATCTATGAGACACTTGTAGGAACTGTATTTCAACAAGTGTCCTAAACTGTTCTTTTTTGACACCTTTTCACACCATTTCAGGACACTTGATAGGACACCTCATTTTTCAACATAAAACCCAAAAACAAAATACCTACTTTATTAAATAAGATATAGCATTATGCCCTTTATGGTCATTGATGGACATAACATGAAGATTGATAACAACACGTTTGACGCAATGAACCAGTTTATACAAGATGACATCCAAACCTCATCGGAAGAAGAACCAAGGAGGCAATCAAGATCTAGAGATGATGGCACTTATGATATCACAACTTTAGACCCCGATTACTTCAAAAAGTATTATCTAAACAAACTCAAAGCGCCTTTCACCTGTCCAGACTGTGGGACAACCATATCAAACAATACAAATTTATCAAAACACAGGAACACCAAAAAGTGCAGAAACTCTAAAAGCTTTTGTTGAAACGTTGACCTCAAACCTCACTCCAAGTCCCCCCATCACTTAACCAGTAAAAAAAAACTTGAAGAACTATTACCTCATTATAGCAAGAAAGAAAAATGGAGAAGGAAAGACAAAGGACATTAGATCTTCTTCAAAAATAATCCATTTCCAGACCTAAATAATTTTGTACCTGCTGGCATCAGCGGTGGGCCTGCTGGCATCAGCCGTGGTGCTTGGGCTGCTGTGCATGGGGGCCTGCTGATGGCATCAGCGGTGGGCCTGCTGGCATCAGAGGTGGATCGTTTCACATCTTTTGTGCAAGCCATTACAAGCAGAATACTTTGTAGATAGCAATTATCAGCGCAAACCATTTGAATATATGGTTTTTACTTTTTACTGATGATTTGATTTTTTTCAGATTTTTTTGAGCGATTTTTAGAGATTTTGAGAGATTTTGAAAGATTTTGATAGATTTTGAGAGATTTAGAGATTTTGAGAAATTTTGAGAAATTTTGAGAAATTTTCATTCCAGTCAGCAATACTACTTCTAAATTACAATGGTTCCCATGCCTGAGATTTTGAGAGATTTTGAGAGATTTTGAGAAATTTTGAGAAATTTTGAGTTTTTTTTCCAGTGAAAAGCTCGTAAAGGAAAAGTAGTATTCGTAGAGGAAAAGTAGTACTCATAGAGGAAAAGTGTAATTATAGCAGGGTTGCGCTGATAATTGCTATCTACAAAGTATTCTGTTTGTAATGGTTTGCACAGAAGATCATCATTTCACAGCGCGTCTGCAAAAACATCAGGTTGCAAACGCTTGCACTGAAAATTCTATGAATCATGAAAATCACAAGTTTCTACATAGGTCATTTTTTCTTTTACAGTTACGTTGGGACTTGTTTCACATTGTCACTTTCAAGTCAACAGTGGTTTTGCTTAATGTACCACCTGTTCGAACAGGTGGCGCATGTCGAACAGGTGGTACATTAAGCAAAACCACTGTGGAATTTGAAAAACACAAAATGGAATATTTTTAAAGAAGATCTAATGTTGTTTGTCTTTCCTTCTCCGTTTTTCTTTCTTGCTATAATGAGGTAATAGTTCTTCAAGTTTTTTTTTACTGGTTAAGTGTTGGGGGGACTTGGAGTGAGGTTTGAGGTCAATGTTTCAACAAAAGTTTTGAGAGTTTCTGCACTTTTTGGTGTTCTTGTGTTTTGATAAATGTGTATTGTTTGATATGGTTGTCCCACAGTCTGGACAGGTGAAAGGCGTTTTGAGTTTGTTTAGATAATACTTTTTGAAGTAATCGGGGTCTTGCCTCCTTGATTATTCTTCCGATGAGGTTTGGATGTCATCTTGTATAAACTGGTTCATTGCGTCAAACGTGTTGTTATCAATCTTCATGTTATGTCCATCAATGACCATAAAGGGCATAATGCTATATCTTATATAATATAGATCAATATAGTAGGTATTTCTTTAATTTTTTTTGGTTTTATGTTGAAAAATGAGGTGTCCTATCAAGTGTCCTGAAATGGTGTGAAAAGGTGTCAAAAAAGAACAGTTTAGGACACTTGTTGAAATACAGTTCCTACAAGTGTCTCATAGATTTTTATGTCAGGATGTCTCATATGTTTTTTTCTTTTAATGTCAGTTGTCTCATAAATTCATGTCAGGCTTGCACTGAAAAAAAAAGTGCGACTTTCAGTTTTTTTCTGAGGAGGATATAGTCAGCAAAGGCACATGTTGAAAAGGATATAGTATAACAAGACAAGGCTTGCAAAGGATATAGTCTGAAAAGACACCTCCTGAAAAGGAAATAATCTGGAAAGACACATCCTGAAAAGGATCTATCTGAAAAAAACAAATACTGAAATAAACATGTTTTTTTGATTTGAAAATGAAAACAAACTTGTGGGTGACGTGATCTTCTTTGGTTAGGTTTCCTTATTAAAAACTTTTTTTTCCTCAAAATTTCTCAAAATCTCACTTTTTCTCATTTTTTCTCATGTTTTCCCATGTTTTCTCATTTTAAAACTCTTTATAACTCAAAATCTCTCAATATAACTCTTGAAAAAACCGAGCCTATCCAGAACCCACCTGGGTCAAGGTAGCACATTACAAGTGGTGAGGAAACTATGGTTTTTACATGGTTTTTTTTTATGTCGGTGTTGCGAGATGAACGCAACAAAAAAACCCTCCTATAGCTATTTAGATCCCCGCCCTTAGTATAAACATCCTGACAAACATGCTGACACGTACATATCCTGACATTACGACATAAATTCCGACACATATTCGGACGTTTGCCTTTCCATGTATTCCCACATCTGTCCGGACGCACATTTGACATATGCTCTGATATGCAGTCTGACATGTGTATATATGTATATACATGTTCAAACATATGCAAATTGACACGCACGCGCACATATATATATATATATACATACACATACATAAACATACTGTACATGCATATTCTACATATATTCGGGCAAATCTCCTGACATCAACTGTCACGCTTGATCTGGCAAATCTCATGTGTCTGCAAGATATACTGGCACTTGATCTGGCAAATCTCATGATATTTACAGTATCCTGGCATTTGATCTAAGAAATTTCATCCGACACATGTTCTGACATCAATTCTGGTACGCATTCTGACATTTCTATGAAAAGTAATGACACTTGCTCCCACTAATTCCATGTGACAAATATAATCTGATATCAACCCTGACAAACATATTCTGACATGTACTGTATTGCGGCATTGGTCCAAACACACGCAAATTATATAATACATGCACTTCATATTCAGCGCATACAAATATATATATATATATATACACACATGTTCGTCTAAAAAATGCTATAGTGATACGACCATATGTCGAAGTCTGGCACGACATGTGTCGAGTCTGCCAGCCATGAGAGGCGGCTTGAACTGGAGTCAGGTACCAAGTGGTGAAGAATTTCCCAATGAATAGCTACACCTATGCTGTGTATTTGGGTGTTTCCTCAACTAGGGTACCCCCAAATTCCCAAATAATTCAAAATTCAGCAAACAGGGCAAATTGAACATCTCCAAATTTAATTACATTTGATTTGCCCGTTTTAACCTCCATGTCTTAGGGGATTTCCAACATTTCAACCGTGAAACCCCACATGACCAGGCAACCGGGCATGTGATCCCTTAGCGACACCCAGGGTTCGTAGAAGCTGCCGAGCATCCATGAAAACCAAGAAGAGCATAAGGAGAAGGATAGGGAGTGATAGCGACGGAAAGAAACCTGAGTCTCTCGCAGCTTGACTATCTTAGTTGGGGATGAAGAAGGTGAACATTGAACACTTGACATATAAACTTATCTGGTTGGTGGTTTTAACAATCTTGAAACATATTAGTCAATGGGAAGGATTATCCCATGTATTATGGAAAATAAAACATGTTTGAAACCACCAACCAGTCATCCATTTATTGGCCAAAGATAGGAGGGTCCGGTATTTTTTCCCCCAGAACCAGTTTTGGGACTTGGGATTCCAGGGGCAAGGTTGGAATTGCCAAGTGAGAGCTCGCTAGATATGCTTCAGACGATTCAGATTGCGGATGTTGCGATCGCTCTGAAATTTGGTCAAGTGAAAATGTAATCACCAAATAGAGAGAAAGGTCGTCTATTACTATCTCTTTCTAAATGTATATATATATACACATATTAATATATAATGTTTGCACCCGATTAGTGTCCTGGTACCCTATTGTGAGAAATTTCTTGCTCCTAATTCAGTCACATGCAAATTGTTGGGGGGGAACTCTATTGTGAGATTGTTTTCCAGTTTTTTTTCCCAATGCTTTAACTTTTTGAAAAAAAAACTAATTATTTATGTTTAATTATTTAAAAGATGCCTGATTAAACCCTTATTAAAAAACAGCACCCAGACAATTTTTCAAGGGGGTACCTCATGAGTGGCTCAGTTACTCAATAATATAATTGTTTGGATGGTACTCTATTGTGAGCAACCAACTTTTGGGAGTGAAAAAAAAAGCAAAACCCTTTCTCCACCTTTCTTTGGGTAAAGCTGGCCTTTTTACTGTAGAAAGCCATAGTTGTGTTAAAGCTTTGGAATGAAAGGTTTTCAAAATAATTAGATGCCTTATTAAACCCTTATTTAAAAACAGCACCCAGACAATTTTTCAAGGGGATACCTCATGATTGGCTCAGTTACTCAATAATATAATTGTTTGGATGGTACTCTATTGTGAGCATCAACTTTTGGGAGTGAAAAAAAAAACAAAACCCTTTCTCCACCTTTCTTTGGGTAAAGCTGGTGCCTTTACTGTAGAAAGCCATATTTGTGTTAAAGCTTTAAAATGCAAGGTTTTCCAAATAATTAGATGCCTTATTAAACCCTTATTAAAAAACATCACCCAGACAATTTTTCAAGGGGGTACCTCATGATTGGCTCAGTTACTCAATAATATAATTGTTTGGATGGTACTCTATTGTGAGCACCAACTTTTGGGAGTGAAAAAAAAAACAAAACCCTTTCTCCACCTTTCTTTGGGTAAAGCTGGTGCCTTTACTGTAGAAAGCCATAGTTGTGTTAAAGCTTTGAAATGAAAGGTTTTCAAAATAATTAGATGCCTTATTAAACCCTTATTAAAAAACAGCACCCAGACAATTTTTCAAGGGGGTACCTCATGAGTGGCCCAGTTACTCAATAATATAATTGTTTGGATGGTACCCTATTGTGAGCACCAACTTTTGGGAGTGAAAAAAAAAACAAAACCCTTTCTCCACCTTTCTTTGGGTAAAGCTGGTGCCTTTACTTTAGAAAGCCATATTTGTGTTAAAGCTTTAAAATGCAAGGTTTTCCAAATAATTAGATGCCTTATTAAACCCTTATTAAAAAACAGCACCCAGACAATTTTTCAAGGGGATACCTCATGAGTGGCTCAGTTACTCAATAATATAATTGTTTGGATGGTACTCTATTGTGAGCACCAACTTTTGGGAGTGAAAAAAAAAACAAAACCCTTTCTCCACCTTTCTTTGGGTAAAGCTGGTCCTTTACTTTAGAAAGCCATAGTTGTGTTAAAGCTTTAAAATGCAAGGTTTTCCAAATAATTAGATGCCTTATTAAACCCTTATTAAAAAACAGCACCCAGACAATTTTTCAAGGGGATACCTCATGATTGGCTCAGTTACTCAATAATATAATTGTTTGGATGGTACTCTATTGTGAGCACCAACTTTTGGGAGTGAAAAAAAAAACAAAACCCTTTCTCCACCTTTCTTTGGGTAAAGCTGGTGCCTTTACTTTAGAAAGCCATATTTGTGTTAAAGCTTTAAAATGCAAGGTTTTCCAAATAATTAGATGCCTTATTAAACCCTTATTAAAAAACAGCACCCAGACAATTTTTCAAGGGGATACCTCATGATTGGCTCAGTTACTCAATAATATAATTGTTTGGATGGTACTCTATTGTGAGCACCAACTTTTGGGAGTGAAAAAAAAAGTAAATTAAAAGTAAATTGAAATCAATTGAAAGTAAATTGAAATCAATTGAAAGTAAATTAAAAGTAAATTGAAATCAATTGAAAGTAAATTGAAAGTAAATTAAAAGTAAATTAAAAGTAAATTAAACGTAAATTGAAAGTAAATTGAAAGTAAATTGAAATCAATTGAAATTAAATTGAAATCAATTGAAAGTAAATTAAAAGCAAATTGAAATCAATTGAAAGTAAATTGAAAGTAAATTAAAAGTAAATTGAAATCAATTGAAAGTAAATTGAAAGTAAATTGAAAGTAAATTAAACGTAAATTGAAAGTAAATTGAAAGTAAATTGAAATCAATTGAAATTAAATTGAAATCAATTGAAAGTAAATTAAAAGCAAATTGAAATCAATTGAAAGTAAATTGAAAGTAAATTGAAATCAATTGAAATCAATTGAAATCAATTGAAAGTAAATTGAAATCCTTTCTTAAGTTGATTGACCAAAAAAATGTTGAGGGAGGGCAAAAAAAAGTGCGAGTTATAGAGTATCCTCAAATTGTTTAGGGGAGGGGGGGGGCCTCACACTAATCAGATGCAAACATTAATATAAATGTATATCGGACAAACAAATAGAATATACCTATATATATATCACATATAAATATATATATATATAATTCTACTCTTCCATCCTTTTTGGGGTCGATATATATATATATATATATATCTCTGTGTGTGTGAAGAAAAGCAAGCCACAACTCCAACTTGAAAATTAAAGCCTTGATACAATTCGGATGAACTCCATGTCATACGGATCAAGAAACATGGCTGGCAAATTGCGCAGGGGGTTCCAAATGACGCCCAAAGTTGTTAAAGAACTGCCAATGACAAGTCATGTAGAACATATATAACTTATATAACATAAGACTGTGACAGTGCAACAATCACACTGGCGAGCTACCTTTCTGATTGGTGGTTTCAACCCATCCCAACAATATTTTACAACTAGTCGTCAGTTAGGATCATCCCAACTATTCTTTGAAGATAAAGAAAATGAAACCAAAGCCAAGTAAGCAACCTTGGCCTTCTTGTAGATTATATATTATCCAAAGAACTGCTGGGAACAGTCCAGATGCTAACCTCCGAAGAAAAACATGCGCTTCAAAAGCTGAAGTCAAAGCAATCTCCCAAGCATGCTTTTTGTTAGAAGTGAACTCCCCCAGCTGATACAGAACAAAAAACTGGCTTCAATGATACCTGACAAGTCCTATTGCGGATGACCCCCACGTTTTCACCATCGCCAGGAAGCCAATCAAGAAGAGGGCTGACACTCCACAGATGCTATTCAAGGCAAAGTAGGACGTTCGATTGAAGCCCAAAATGGGCATACTGTCAGCGATCAAGCCGAAGAGTGGCTTGATGGCCCTGGGAACGGGATGAAATTTGGTTTTCAAGAGCAACATGGAAGCGCGGCCTGCTTTTTAGGGGAGACATAGTTGTCGTGGGTTGCAGTGCTTCTCACTGGAAAAATTAACCAATATCGCCATGCCAAAGTGATGATGTGCGCTCCAACATGGAGAACTTTTTTTGGCTCCGGTCATCAAACATGGCTAGCTGGAAAATCCCCTGGAGGTTTGAATGGGAACGGAGGGAGATCCAAGACGTTGGAAGCCGCTGCATTGGAAAAGCACCGGGCAACCAACTGCCTTCCTATTTTCCAAAGGACAACGAGCATTGTCACCATGATATGCCCAACCCCATGTGAGTGAACACCATTGAAAAAGGGCCCGGGAGGAGGCGCAAAATGGTGATTCTTTGGTGTTTCAGTGACACTGTGCGAACCTGCTATGCAACATTATACCGTTTATACATGTTTATACCTCCAAATGGCAATGTTGAATCATGTTCAGAGGGAAAAATAGCCATGTTCATGATCAACATTGATTCATTTAGCATCAGACTTCAGGAAGTTGTTCCCTCCGACTAAGTGGCCAGGGGATCGACACAGCAGATTTGTAGACCTGAAGGTCCGCAGCCTTCCTGAGCTGAAGGCTATCTGCCACCAAAAAAGGCGACGGCCATGAGTGGATAGTAGCTTGATAGTATTCTGCCTATAAACATATATGTTATAATAGATGTTTATGTTTTTTTTAAGAGACCAATTTTGGAGCTTCGCAAGTCAGATATAAAGGTTGATAGTGATTGAGTTGATGGCCATTCTGGTGGTAAACCATGCAAATACACTAGAATATCTTTGGATGTACCGATGTATATGATTTTCATAATATTTTCATCTGATTTCCCGGCCCTGATGCACAATGACGTGTTCATCTGAAACTTGGAGGTTTCTTCCATGGTTCTTTGAAACTTGAATCCCTTACAGGCCCTCAAAGCAATCCAGCATGGCAATGGACATTCCATGAAACATCATGAACTTCAAACAGACACATATCAAGTCCACAACCCATCACAATCCCATGATATCTTCACATGGGTAAATGATACTAGTTCACAAACCTGAAATCTTGGGCCATTTGGGGATAGTTGCATATAGTCTAGTTTCCACTTACCAATTAATCACATCTAATCACGACTCCAGGGTTCGGTATGAGTTCGTTACAATTTACCCAGATCTCATGATATTCGGCCACGCTTCACTTCATACTCCTTCAGCAAGAATTCGATCGGGGTCCCCACAAGGCCTCCAGTACCACCACCTGCCAAAAAGCCCTGGCGGCAGTTTGGATTGGTACAATCAAAATCGCATGAAACTATGGGGATATAGTTGATAAATCATGGTTGATGATTATGATTCATGTTGATTAAGGGCTATTATGGCTTATTAACCATCAGGGGACTTGACCATTTGGATCCATTTGGTAAGACCTGGGATGGTTTGAAAAAACGAGAAGTGCACACTGTGTATGTATAATATATATATATGCGTGTATACATATATATATATATATGCGTGCGTGTGTGTGTGTGATTTACGAACATTATATATATATATGTATATTCATACACATTAAATCATCATAACATCAAGAAAACACATAAGAATCACATATCATATCATAGCTAAGCCATCTAACCAGCCGCGCAAAGTCATCCTTCAGCCTTCAGCGTGATCTCGGCGAGACCCACCAGCAACAGCAACTTCCAGCCGAAGGCGTCGCAAAGGTTCTTGAAGAACGAGCAGGTCACTGGCCCTTCCACCTGGTCTGCAGAGATCTGCGTTGCCGGCGTGGTGAGAAATTTACAATCGAGGGGACAAAGAAACGACATGTATATAGTGTTGAATAGTGATATATTATGATAGATATATGTATGTAGTTATATATATATATGTAGTTATATATATATGTAGTTATATATATATATATGTATATATGTATATACATATCTCCCTCTCTCTCTCTCTCTCACTCTCCATTTGCACCTAAAGGAAGTAGAACCATGTAGAACCAAAACACACAAAAACACATTTTTTTTATATGTTTTTCAGTTTATTTTGTTGTTTTCTTCATCAGGAAGAATCTTTAGAACATTATGCGTCTCCACTTAACCAAAAAAACTCGAACATATTTTTTACTTGCTTATAAAAAAAAGGCATGACATGTGTTGAACACAATATATGTATATATAATTATATGTATATTATATATATATATATAATTATATCTATTTCTAAATGGATTTGTATATATATATATATTATGTATATACACGCAAGTTTCTAAGAATTCCATGTGTATACAGACCGAATGGGAACATTATACCCTTAGACCCATTAAACCTTACGCATGTGGCATTGGCTGGGGTTCCCATGCCACAGCACCCTTGGCCGCTCCACCATGCTCCACCAATCTCAGCCACGGCACGGGACAGCCGTGGCCTTCTTCTACTTCCTTTTCTGCCTCCCCCTCGAAATGCGGATGTTCATCAGCTCCGTGCATTGCTGAATTCTGCTCCGGCCTGAAGGCAGGAGATTGATGGCTCACAAGCTGCAGAATTCTACCGAACAACAGCTGAAAAAAAAAATGCATCTCAGAATGACCATGTCCCAGGTTTGCCCAAATCTGGATCCCCCGCTGGTAGTTCAACATCACCATGGAAAATGACCAATTTCTAGATGATTTACCTCATATATTTCCATGTCCCATTTTCCATGACAAACCGCTCCAGAGACTACCCCACCTTGCTAGGCAAGGTACTGTCAACCAAATGACAGCGCCTTGAGCCAAGGGGCTGCGGAAAAAAACAAACGCAACTTCCAGTGAAATTTACTGAATTAAGTGGGGATAAAGTTGACATCATCGATTCTGGTAAAATTGGGGCAGCTTGATTAGCACTTAGCAGCTTGATTTTTTGTTCACATTATTTGGTACCGACAGGCTTCTGCGTCTTTCTAGAGCTCAAATTCTTTTCTACGGAAAAATAAAATCGGAACACCATTCCATGAATTGAGACATTTTAGTCGAATGTGATGCTGGCTTAAACTCTTTTCATGGGGCATTGATGACTTGAATGTTCCTCGTATGTTGCAACCATTGCGGAGCGAGGCTTGGAATGGACTCATCGTAAACGTGCATCCCACCAAACCACTAGCCATCACCGGCCATCAGCCCCCCAGGATACCATCGCTCCAAAAACCGCCGGCGCTGTGACACTCTAAGTGCTGTGTAAGTCAACTGGCTGTCCCAAAGAGATCTGCTTTCGGTGTTGGCAATGTTTAGTTCCTGGTAACGAGTCTGAACATAGTGAGCTATCCGGCCATGTTTTGGTGCACTCAGATATTATGCCATAAGCTAACCATGCAGCTACTAGCCACTTAGTAGATTGGATGATCATCCATGACTCAAATCTTCATCAAGCTGGCTCCTGGAAAAACTTCAGCGGCAAGAAATAACACCAGAACATCCGTTTCTCCCGGCGTTTTTCGACAGACCCGTAGCTTGGTTGATCACATTTCACCTCATTTACCAGTGGATTGACTTTACCTGGTTGGTGGCTTCAACCCCTCTGAAAAATATGAGTTCGTCAGTTGGGATAATTATTCCCACTATATGGAAGTCATAAAATTCCATGGTTCCAAACCACCAATCAGTATAGCACTTACAACCAGGGATACCACCGACTTTCTAAGTGGGATGAAGCACCGAGTATGGCCACATGAAATCAAGGTTGATTGGGCTAAGGGATTACCATGGTCCCCCTATAATAGGCCCTATTTCCTTGACTGCGCACTCAAAGTCACTGAGATCTTGCATACCATTCAAACCCTTGAATCCTTGAAACCCTGTCCGCAAGCTGTTCTTCCAAATTCCATGACAGCTTCAGGCAGAAACCCATAGAAACCCAGGACCCTACAATGCTCACGGCATCGCATGATCAACAAAACAGGGGCTTACCCTGGGAACGCTGTGGAAGAATTGATTCGAATACTGGAGTTGATGCCCAGCCAACTTACATTCCGATTCTGATTGTGGCTTTCTTGAAAGTGCCCGTTTCAAATCTTAGTCTAATACCCAAAGAAGAACTACCAACCAGGAACCGTCTCATTGCTGATATATCATGATAGTCTATGTTAGTTGGATGGATGGTAATGCGTGCTGACCATAATGCTTGGCAAAATCCCAGTGGAATACCACCAGCCAACCATCGCAACTTTTGTTCTCAGCCTTCGCCAGTTCGCTCTTGCACCATGCCCACCAGGCCAATTCACATCATCGACAAGAACCAGAAAGAAAGGTTTATACAACCCATTTATGGTGATTTTGGGGATGGTGTATTATTGTTTTACCCACATTACACTGATTGTACCCAATCCATCCTAAGCCTATAGGGCCTATAATATGGATTCCCAAATGGGTGGTTTATGACATTGTTTTAACCACACTAATCATTTATATTCGGGAGAACTTTTCCCAGCTGCTCTGAGGCAACAAACCGACCGGATGATCATCCAACCACTATGGCCAAACACCGGGCAAAAAAAACAGGCGGAAAGCTAAGGTCCGAAATCTCAGTGAGTGACACATCAGACTTTCTCAAACTTTCACTTATATCATACCATATTGTATCAAATCATATCATACCTATATCATATCTATCTATCTATCTATATATATATTATATATTATATATATATTATATATTATATGCGTAGGATCACATTGATATACAAGTCATAATGAATCATACAATATAAATATACACCTGCATATATACATATAGCATAATCATGTATAATCAATATCTTGAAACTCAATGCAAATCCACAATAATATAGTATAGCCTGTTTCCTCTGGTTTCACGCTGGCATTTCAAGGATTCGGTTGTGTCAGGGTAACTCCCCTCGTCTCGGACCGTGACACGACGGGCGCAGCTCTACCTGGCTGCTGTGGTGGTTGTGCACTGGAGATGGGTTAGAAAAACCACAACGTCATTCCACGTTGCTGGTTGGTAAATAGGGGTTCCCATAACGGATTCTGCTAATTTTGAATATATTGGGTACATTAGCACAACTCCGTAGAATCATCAACCAACATAGTTTGAACATGTTTGAACACTGCTCAAGTATCCTTAAGTGCAGGCTGTGTATTTCATGGGTTTTGACATGGGCAATCTCAGACACCTTAAAACAGAACAGTTGCTGCGTAGACCACTTGACTACCCATCCCAGGTTGACCCAGTTGAGTAGCGCAATACATATCTTCTGCTTGGTGGTTGGCCTACCCCTCTGAAGAATGATGGACTTCGTCAGTTGGGATGATGATGTTCCCAATGTATGGAAAAAAATCCAAACCATCAACCAGCTATGTGATGCAGAATGTGACTGTGTTCTTACCAAAGCGGGTTACTTCTGACACTCAATTGGAATCTAAGCCTGGGACTATTGATTGATTTCATGAATAAAACGCCGGTCAATGATGATTCATGTACTAAACCTAACAGTACAGTAAACCTCCAATTTTGGAGGGAGTTTTTCCCATCCATTTCTGATCTTGAGATATCTTGAGGATTCTTTACTAGTGGGTCTACCCTATTCAAATTAGATGAACCCAACTTCATCCCATTTCCTGCGAAGTGCTGTTCCTGTCCCATCTCCCGGCTGGGTGAAACTTTTGCTTCGCTACCGTTTCATAGCGCGGCTCTTGGTGGAGAGCTCGATCTGGGCGGAGCAAGAAATGCCAGGTGGATGTTGACCCCTTGGCCATCACTTGGCGGTATTTTTTCATCAATATAAACAGATCGATTTTTTACCCCCCCGTATCAACCAATGTTGATAAATCGGTTGCCAAGGTTGCAGGAATTGGCCCTAACAAATGCCAATGAACAGAAATTGGTGCTGAAAAAAAACAAAAGAAATCGGGGCTGAGTTACGACCATGGGAATTTTGCTGATCTCCAAATCTCCCCCGATTTCCAACCAATGCTCCCAGCTTGGAATTCCCTGGTGTGGGATTCATCACCTGATATCACCTACTGGTAATTTAACATAGCTATTGAAAATGGCCATTTATAGTGAGTTTAAAAAAAAAAATGGTCATTTTCCATAGCTATGTTAGTTTACCAGAGGGTATACTGCGAAGCGCTGATTCCCTCTTTGGAGCCATCCGGCTGAACAATCTGAATTCCTCGGTGACACTCTGAATCTTCTCCAGTGAGCAAAACTGTTTCACACAAATTGGACTTTGACAAGCCGAATTGGTCCATATCAAATGTACCAAGTAGAGATTCAATCAACACACCCAATATTGGGAGATATCCCCGACTTGGTTTAAGGAGAATCCACAGGAAACCCATGGTTTCGGGTAATGATTTGCCCTTCAGAGATCCTTTGAAGGTACGACTGGCAATCTAACATAGCTATGGAAAATTATCAATTTATAGATTAGTGACTCATGACCTATTGAAACTGCTGATTTTCCATGTTAACTTACCAGAGTGTACCTTGTCTCACTGGAAAATCAGGGAAAATCTTGCAAACCATGGGTTTTCAAAGTTTTCCCCATCAAAACATAAGGCTTTCCGGTTTGATTTTTTTCCTTGATACGTTCACTTAAATGAGGATCCTCCAATTTTTAAATTCACAAAATACCCTCCAGTAAATTAACATAGACCCTGCCAGATAGGGATTGGAAGACTATATAGTTTCCACTATAAATTGGTCATTTTCAGGGTCTATGTTAATTTACCAGAGGGGAACCATGAAATTCCAATGGAAATTTCCAGGCCCGCCGACGCAAACGTCAGTGCATTGCTGCCGAGCACGCTGCAGAGCGCTGAGATCTCCTGTTTTTCGAAATTCGGGAGGTGCGCAACAAAGGGAGGATGTTAATGCCATGATATACTGTATATATATATTTATAGTTTATGCATAGTAAACATATTATACATAAATTGGTTTCACAAAAGTTTACGGTATATATATATATATGATTATAAATGTGTATGTATATATATATATATGTATATTTATGTATATAATTGTATAAATATATATGTGATTATGTATGTAATTTCATATTCTACATGTGTAAATGGGTTTTCGTGCCAAACAACAAGCGGAGACATCTTCAATAAGATTCGTGGATTTCAACAACAGGATTGAACATGCCAGCACCAAAAAGGTGCCTTTGTGTGATGAAAAACAAAATCCATGTGAAAAAAACAGCATAAACAAAAACATTAAAAAAAAACAGGTAAAACAATGCAAAACAGCTATGACGTCTACACTGGAAGACCATGAACGCGGCATGTGGCTAAATCTTTGTGGGTTAAATCACCATTTTCATCCAGTTTCTCTCCACCTTTATGGTTTTACTTTCTGTACACTTTCAACGTTCTCCACTGTTCGTGGGTTGAACCCATGTTTGCTACTCAAATCACCATTGAACTGTTCTGCTTCATTTCCACACTCCACACTTGAATCCCATGTTCTTTGGACAATTCCAACCCCCAGGAAACCTATTCCTATCCCTCACCTTAAAAGATTTCTTTTAAGGTCATTGCCAGGAATTCCTGTCCTGGACGTGTTTTGCCGACGGCCTCTTCTTGAGGGTTGTAAGTATATATACATGAATATATATATAATATATATATGTATCATTTTATACCTATATATATATACATGTACATCCATGTATATATATACACATGTATATCAATGTATCCATTTATATTTATTTATTTATATATATATATGTGTGTATATGTATCTTTGATGTAATATATATATATATTGATATATGTGAATTTTTTATGTACATCTGTACATGTACATCTATAAATGAACTTATATACATGTATATTTGATCTTATATATTTGATCTTATGAACTATAGTTACATCCAAATTTCCTGGTAAAATCGAAATGTGTGGCGGTCAAACCTTCATCTATTCTTGGATTCTTAAGGATAGATCTCCATTCTTGATGGTTAGATCTCCAATTTTCTTGGTTAAACCATGTTAAACCTTCATGTTTCATCTTTTTTGCCATATGTCTCCCTTAAAAAAAAAGAAAAATTGCGACAGCTTCGCCAGCCATTGCACCTTGTCGCGGGCTTCCATGACTGGAGGGCTCCCGGGTGGGCGTCGTGCGTGCAGAACTGCGCGCGGATGGAAGCCTGGCGCGCGGGGGATTACCATTGAAGTGCCGATTTGGGGAGCCCCGAATTTTTGGATTCTAAGCCCCATGGTTTCTAATGTTTTCTATAGATCCGGGGTTGGCATTGGGAGTAATGGGAATATCTGTGAAATATACATAGTTAAGGAGAATATATGATGATTTATCATCTCACGGGGCATATCATGGGAAAACATGTGATGTAAATGGGGGAGTTACATCAGAACTTAGATGCTGCGAAACTCATCCTGGGAATATTATGGGAACATGTTGGGAATGACTTACATCAAGTTACACTCCTCTATACATTATAAATGGAGGTTTCTAGCTTGGAAAATCATCTATATATAAAGATTCAATGGCTCTCACTTTTTTGCACAGCAAGACCGATTTGGTCAAAAACGAAATGAGATTTCAATGATCTCTAGCAGTATTCACTGCTTCCTCAAAGTTGGTTTAATTAAAACAACCGCTTACTCCTGAAAAGGCCTGTGCCTTTCACTCCCCCCATACTTCCCTGCCAAGTCAAGGTAAGCATGAGCCAAAGAGTGTGGATAATACTGGGTCCCGCCAAGCCGGGTTAATACCAGTCCCTTATCCGCAAAAGGATTTCCTTCCCTTTTTGTTCCTCTTTTTGTGTTTGGAGTTTTTACTCCTCCCCATTCAGGGAGGGCGGTTGTGGGAGCTGAGCCGAAACTTTTGGAAAAAAGGTGAATCACGCCATGTTCATCTTAACATCCGGGGACGTTCTTTCAAAGATTCAATGGCTCTCACTTTTTTGCACAGCAAGACCGATTTGGTCAAAAACGAAATGAGATTTCAATGATCTCTAGCAGTATTCACTGCTTCCTCAAAGTTGGTTTAATTAAAACAACCGCTTACTCCTGAAAAGGCCTGTGCCTTTCACTCCCCCCATACTTCCCTGCCAAGTCAAGGTAAGCATGAGCCAAAGAGTGTGGATAATACTGGGTCCCGCCAAGCCGGGTTAATACCAGTCCCTTATCCGCAAAAGGATTTCCTTCCCTTTTTGTTCCTCTTTTTGTGTTTGGAGTTTTTACTCCCAGTCCCCCCTGCCCTGCCACGTGTGGCATGCTCAAGTTGAGGCAAGGGAGATCTTCTGGAACGGAGAAATTGGCGGTGAAACGTCGTCGCGTGGGGGGTGAGCTTTAGTTCAAATTCGGCCAAAGTGGCTAAACCACTGTTGATATACAGTCGGGCCGTCCGGCTTGACTGCCATCGCCCTTGTACAAGCAACCTATCCAGCTGTCCGTGTTTTTGGAAATAAAAAGTCGCCCCTCCTCGCCGGAGCGAATATGGACGATACTGATACTCCTGTAACCCGAGGGCTTCAACTGCATTATTAAACAACTTTCGCCACTGGTGGGCTGGTGGGCATAAAAGGGATCCGTGAGGCGTCACTTGTTTCCACTGCCAAAGTCGCCTCAAAGTATCCTCTTCCGTGATAGTGACGCTTTCAGCGGCCCCTACCCTTTTCCCTGCCTTGGTCAATCCTAAGGATATGACCGCGACAGAAGTGGGACCCTCTTGAGCCACATCTCGGTTACGCACACTTAATAGTTCACCGGTGCGTAGTAGTCCATAAAATGCAAGAAGCAGTGACAGGGCAAACTTTGTTTGATTGTGGAATAAGGCATCCCCCGCCAGCGTTTGCAGGGCTTGTTCCGTCAAAGGAGGGGCACGACATGGGATCTCATTAGCTACCCAAGTTTTGAGGAGTCTCCAGCTACCCAATAGGGTGCCTTTGAGATGTGGATCCCTGTCTTGTAATCCTGCAATAGTGTCTGATGCAAGGCTACGCCCCTCCCCTTCGCTCCACAGGTATTCCAGGTAATCGGACAATATTGGATCAAGGCTGGCTCGCAGCTTGGGGAGAATGATTGAGTTGGATTTTAAGTAAGCAAAAAAAACTTGCCAACCGCATTGTCATACCGCTGCCTGGTCTTGGGCTGAACAGTGAGGTGTTTTAAAGGCCCTAGGTCTTTCCGCGTGGCTTTTCTTTCTGCTTTGCTCCTACCTTCCAAATGACACTTCATTTGCCTCCCCATTTCCGTCGATTCCGACCCCTCGAGGGGGCATCTGCCGGATTGAGGGCAGTGTGAACATATGTCCACACTGCAATGTTCTGGGAAAGCAAGAGCAATGCATTAATCTTAGCCACGGTTCGTCTCAATTTCCTGCTTGATGTGCGCCCTCTCGTCAGCGTGTGGAGACACACCAGCGAATCAGTCAAATGAACCAATCTTTGTTTTCTGGCACCTTGTCTGAGGATGCGCCATCTGAGTGCACATAGGATGGTTCTCATCTCGAGATTGTTGATATGCTCCTTGGTTCCTTTCCATTTCCAGGAGCATATCGTCCGCCAGACCCACAGGTTAGATGGGATACTGGCTCTCTAACGATGGTACCTGAGGGTCTCCTCTGTTGTAGAGGACAGGAGAATGTCTTCTCCCTTGATGCTCACCATGTTCAGCAGTTTTTTGACCAGTATTAGCTCATTTCCCTTTGTGAGCCGTTTTTTGCTATTACCCATCAGGGGTCGCGCTAGAAAGGAGGCAAGGTCTCGCTGGGGCCCTGGTGCAGTTGCTTCAATACACTCCTGAACAGTGAGCGCTCGTGACAGCCCTAAACATTTGCCCAACTGGCACAGTATCCAACACACCACAGTGACATTCCAGGAGTTTCCTATAAGGGTTAACCTTTCATCGTTGTGTTCACGGCTGCCCTGTTTAGCCTTTGGAAGGCAGGCAACTGTGTACCCTCTAGGGAAACCCATAATGACCTCTCTTTCGTCAGCCCCCAGTAGCCGGTGATCAGTCCCTCGCCACAACTGATAGCAAAATTGGTACTGATATGGGGGGAAACGGTACTCATCTTGTTGCCAGTGAGCATATTCCTCAGCCGAGAGTTTGTCAACCCCAGCGGGTCGGCGCCCTGGGTAAGGCCGTGGCCTAGATGTAGTAAAGGTTGGGAACCTGTCAGGGCCCCCCGGTTGCCACCCTGGGGTGAGATACCTTTCCGTCTGCACCTGGCCTTGCAACGTGATAATACCATGTGTCTCCCATTTTGTATCAGTAGGTTGGGAAATTTGTATCCCTGGGCCATCCTCTAGTTCCCAGGTTACCCAATACAATCTTGGTCGTCGTGCCAAACTCACTCCTTGCGCATCAATTGCCCATGCCTGGCACCCAAAGGCTTCGCTCATAACTGCTCGATCAGATGAATCCATGGACTGCACCGACTCAGCGAGAAGTTGCACTTGAGCCCAGGGAAAAGCTTGTTGCAGTAATCGCCTAATTCGGGGCACATGAGCAAAGAGTCGGCTCCTATGGTCCTTAAGAGCACCTTTCTTGTCAGCGTTAAGGCCGCTAACGCCTTGACACGGCGGCCCCGCTCCCAGGACCACCAGCCCCACTTGGGTATACTGGCATGCCCACTGCTTCACCATCTCCTGGTCAACCTTTTCCACATCGTCCACAAACAGTGTGCCTGGAAACCTGGACTCTAGGACCCGCGACGCTCTGGGGTTAAGCTCTACGCTCACATGACCTGCAACTGGCAAACCTGCTGCGTCCGCTGCAACCCTAAGCGCTCCTATCCCATCGAACAGCCCGACTGTCAGCACCTGAGTCATCTCCTCAAGGGCTGCCACATCCCCTCTCACAGGGCAAACTGCGGCCATCTGGCCCAAGTTGGACAGACCCCGACTTACAGTCACGCCTCCGCCCTGGGTTGACGCATCACTCGCTGTGACCAACTCATTGGGGGACGCACGAAAGTCCAACCGCGCCAACGGCACTAGGGCCAAAAATCGGCAAATCTCTAAACACACTGTTGCTGGAATTTCCAGCCTGATGACCACCGGATAGCGATTGAATTCCTCAATAAACGACCATATGCTGTTTAATCCTCCCATCAAAGCTCTCCTGAACGTAGCGATGTATACTAGGCCTCCCGCAACCACCTGCATCTCCTTCTGACTGCATCGCCCAGCCGCCACTGTCATCAAAGCCAGTTGGGTGTATTTCAAAATCTTATCGGGCTTAGGGTACGCACACCCCACAGAGCCGTCTACAACGGCTCCCTGCACCTCCGCATAAGAGCTCCGCTGCACCGCCTTCTTGGGATGGCGCGGTATGTTCCAATGTTCATACTCCTGCCTCAGCGCCAAAGTGGACTGGCTGGGCTCTCCCTTCAATATTCCCGCCAGGTGGCGATCCACCTTCTCCATCTCGTCAAAATTGTCAAGATAGACGCGATGCATCACATCTGTGGAGGGAAACATTCTATCCTTCCTGAGCTCCTGCTCTGGTCTCAACCGTTTTCCGCTAGGGATTCTTTTTGAAGCCTGGGATACAATCATCCGATGCACATGCTGTGCTAAGCTGACACTGTTTTTGAACCCCATTGGCAGAACTTTTGCTACCAGGTAGTGTTTGCCCGTCTTACCTGGATGGAACTGCTCCGCAACCACCTTGTTGAACCCTAAAAACCGTCGCCACGCAGGCGGAACGGCGAAGATGTAAAAGAAGCATCTCACATCTTCCGAGGAGATCAACAATTCCTGGCTAGGCATTAACATCAAAGGCCCAGTGGAAGACCAAGCGGGCAGTGTCGAGATATCTCCTTGGATTCCCCTACACACCGCGTTGAGAGGAATAAGATTCATTATTAAGCGGTGGACAGGTGTGCCACCACACATTTCACCTTTTTCCACTCCAAACAGTCCATTCAGCAACGGTTTTCCCGCTACATGGAACAACTCTTGTTCGGCCATCACTTCACACACACCTGCTTGGATGAGTCCCTCGCATACTTTCTCCCAGTCGGCATCAGCCACCATCACTCGAGGTGGACGCACATAAGTCATGCTAGCCTCATCCAGAAGATATTCCTTGAAGTTTTGCACATAATGTTTGCAGCCTTCCCCAACCACTTGCTCGAGTTCTACACTGCCTACTTCTGTAGGCAAAGCATGTCTCAGGTTTTCCCACGAGGTAACCCGAGCCACTGCAACTTCATCCCCAACATAGTCAACACTACGCATACGGAAGAACTCCTCCCATGACATCTTGCCGAAGCTCTCCTCCCAGCCACCCGAAACCCGGACCACTGTCACTAACTCCTTAATGAATCCCATCTGCAACTTCGTCGCAGGCCTCCCTGACTCCACTTCACTTCCCGCATAGCTGTTGAGGCCCAAACAAACATTCCTCAAAACTCCCACCAGGTCTTCCCCTCCCGCTAACATTCCCCTCAAAAGGTCCGTGCTGGTGGGCAACGGAAAAATATCGCCCTTGGACTGGGTCTTGCCGTGCATTTGACGCAACCCTGTGGCATATTTGGTCAGCAGGGACCCAATTAGGGATGCCGCCTGGGGGAAGCACCTGCCCATGAGCCTACTTACTTCATTTTGCAACTCAACCCCAGAACGCTCTGATTTCTTTTTTCTCCCACTCGCCAAGGTAGCAAGTCCATCGCCCTCTCGGCGGCTCATCGGCATGCCGCCACTGCAAAGGCCCGAGGGTGAACTCTCAGGGCACGAAGACGTGCTCTGGGCTACCGCCAGCATGGGTGAGACATAGTCTGGAAAATTGGCGGGGCTCCCCTTGTAAGGAGCCCCCACTGTGCATTCCGGCTTCTCTCCGGCTGTAATGATTGACCCGGAACTGTCCTTTGCTTCGGCAGGATCAGCCCCCAGTCGCTTCAAGGGTGAAACGTCATCCTTTAGGAGGCCTCCCTTATACTGCTGCAGGAGACCTCCCTTCATTTTCTCTTTTGCCAGCCTAACTCCCCTCCTTAGGAGTCCTTTCGTCGCTCCTCTCGCTCTGAGCCTTTCTTGTTCTTGCCTTTGTCTTTTCCTTTCCCTTCTCCCTTCGGGCCAGTTCTCCAGTTCGACCCCGGGGAATCGTTTTTCCCTTTTTCTCTTCCTTTTGTCATCCCTTTTACTTTCAATTCCTCTTTGGTCTCCTTGGCAGCCTCCTGCGCCTCTGCCCGGGTAGACAAACTCCCCTTCTCGGGAGGAACTACTTCTACCCGTTGGGACACCATCCAGCTGGACCCTGAAGCCGTCATTTCGACTGATTTCAGCCGTTGGGCTAAACAGTCTGCCAGCTCCGCCACTCGCCCTTGCAGAGCTAGGTCCAATGCCCAGCTCAAGGTGAGCCCCTCTCGGGCTGCTCCGCCACTCAACTTGTTGACCAGCTGAGAGCGGTAGTATTGCAGCGCTACGGGCTGCACACTGCCCTTGCTGGTTTCCCAAACCGCACCCGACGTGGTGAGGAGCTGCCTCTGCATCTCCTTGACAGTTGCCAAAGTGAGCGCTCCTGGCGCGCGACGAGCAATTGCCCTCACTTTGTGTTTCTCCGGAAACACCTCCTCGGAGTGGCTGCTTTCCTGGTCGCTCCCCTCGGAGCTCCCTGACGAGGAGCTCCCTGACTGCGAGCTGCTGTCGCTCTTTTTCTTTTTCATCTTCTTTCGCAACCTTCGCAGGACGCGACTCCTCACTCGAGGATCTGGGTCCAGCGCTGTTGAACCATAAACCTGACTGAGGTCCTTCTGAGGCTGCATTTTCTTTCTTCGATCTCTTGCCCTCTTCTTGTCCAAGCTCTTTTCGCTTGAGCTTCTCTTCCTTTTCTCCCTCTTTCTTTTCTTCTTTTTCTCCCTTTTTTCTGTTCCGTCTCCTGTTCCCGGAGGGTTGTTTTCCTCCCCAACTTCTCGCCGCAGCTTGGCCAGTTCGTCCACTGACTCTTTGAAATTGTCTGTCCAACCTCCTTCGTCTTTTTTCTTCAGCCGGAGCTCTTTGGCATGAATGAGCCCATTGGCCTCGACCTTGTCCTTGCAATCCTTCCCGCATAAGTGAACTCTGACGGGTTCTGTCGGATTGCCAGAGATCCATTTCAGGAGCTCTTCGTGGTCTGTCCCTTCTCCTCCAAGGGCCAATTCGATATCACCAGCTCCCCTGATACGTAGGGTTCTGATGGTCCCACACAACTGACAGTTGGCCTGCCAGTATTCTCCTTTGGCTACCACTGCAACACCCTGGACCAGGGCGGTAAGAGGCACCGACGAAGCCTCAATCCACTCTCCAGCAGCAAATTTGTCTGCCAAATCTGCTTCTCCTCCCACCGATGCTGCAGGTCTCCTCAGGACCCGCGGTCTACCTCCAGCTTTGGCTGCAGCTGGCCGTCTCAGGGCCATCAACGCCCGTAGCCCCTCCTCTGGGCTCTCCACTCTTGTTGCTTTTTACGCTTTTTTACTCCCTTGTTCTGGCCCCACTGGCTCTCGTCCTCGTAGGAGTAATAATTGTAGTTGTTGTAGTTGTAGTACCCCCCTCGGCCTGAGCTCGAAGCTCCCTGCCAGTAAGAAGGCGGGCGGCTCGGCTCTGGTGGTCGGAGTCCTCACCTCCTAGGAGGCTCCCTTGATGGCTCGCGCCTTCGCGGGCTGCGATCTCTAGAGTCTCGTGACCTCCTCCTATCTCTACTTCTCGATCTGCGCCGTGAAGGTGTCCTTGTCTTTTTACTTCTTTTGGGCTTTTTCTCACTCTTGTCCTTTTTCTTTTTCACAGACTTGCTTTTTCCTCTGTTGTGTGTCTCCTTTGACTTTTTCTCTTTTCTTTTCACCTCCTGCTCTGGTTGGACGGGACCTTCTTCCTCCAATATCTCCTCCTCTGCCTCTTCACTCCTCAAGCTGATTTCTTCCCCTGTTCTCTCACTGGCCTGAACAGGAGATGCCTCTCCCTCTTTTTTCACTGCAGCTTCTCCCTCTTCTTCCTTAGGCTCTTTTGCTGGCGTTGACGGTTCCGCTGGTCCTCCAGCAGGTGGTGCTCCTCCCCTGCTAGGAGGGCAACTTTCACCTGGCACCACAGGAGAGGCTGCTTTGGGTGTAGCGCTCTCCCTTACTTGTCGCTCCTCCTCGGCGACTTGGAACTTAAGGGCCTCCTCCTGGAGGATCGAGACCCACACCCGGGTCTGATCAGTCGCCCAGTTCCTCAGTCCCAGCGGCAGCCGCCTGGATTCCAGCACAAAGCGCCGCAGAGCGCGGCAGAAGCTGCAGACACCGTCGATCTCAGCGTAACCCAAGCCGCAGTCTTTGCAGCTACTTAGCATGAGCTAGCTGAGCCGAAACTTTTGGAAAAAAGGTGAATCACGCCATGTTCATCTTAACATCCGGGGACGTTCTTTCATATATTATAAATGATGGGTTTCCCATTGTCATGTTTGATTATCGGACGGTATATTATGATATATTCTGTATATTACTGTTTCGTCAGTAAGTATGTTTTTTAGTCGTCAACAAAAAACGTATATCAAATGCCCCATGTAAATGTATGGTATCTCTCTCATATGGGGATGGGTCAAAACCCTTTTGTTTTCCATCAACTTTGCGGAAATGAACATGCATTTACCAGCTATTCTGGGGTGAACGGTGCCAGTGGTTTGCCCACAGCCATATATTTACCAACATTTGGGTGATGTTTGGGATAAGTATGGATAAGTAAACTTAAAATCGCATTTCATAATGATATTCCATACCGGGTGGCTTTTTGGCGAGCAAACTGAACAATTTCACCTTGGAAACGATGCACATTCATTGTTAAATAAACTGAATCTAACAAATTAAAAATGCAAATTGAATTGAACTTCAAACATACGAACAGGAAAGGGTAGTTATCATCCATCAACAATGTGGTTTCATCCAGCAAGCACATCAAAATTTGACCGTCAGTAATGGACAATCATTTCAACATATTTCACACAAATTGGACCTGTGTTCGAAAATCAGGGGTGTGTCAGCACCAAGTAAAACATTGCATTTCACTCCCACAAAAGTGAAGTTTGCCGACAAACAGAGGGACTTGTTTTTCAGTGATCAAGGAATGATTCACCTATATACTTCAAAACGTATGTTCAAATCATAATTGATTTTTACTGTTGCAGATTGACGATTTGTTCCCCGCTCATACAAAGAACATAAGAATCCGACCATCTCTGACAAGAACATACAGCCGAAGCCGCTGCAAAATCAGAAGGATAAGGCACCCTCAGTCATTCATGGGCGTTTCCATGTGTTTCACTGGTCACTTGGGGGTTTGTTTCATCCATCAAAAGGGTGAGTGTGGGGATAGGTTAGAGGCAACCTCGATACCAAACGAGCACTAGCCGACTAGTCAGTTGCAGCGGCGTGTTTATGGATGCTTATGGGAATAAAACTTAACGCGCTTGTTCGGAAGGTGCAATAAAGAAACGCTGTGGGTTCCTTTCCCAACCGGGTTGCAGTGGACAATAGAGTCAACGTTACCCGTTACCCGACATGTTTTCCTGCAATCATTATCTGATTTATCTGTATACAAAACTGAAGTTCTGAAAAAATAACGGTTATCATCGATTATCACATTGCAGTGAAACTGAAAAGTCACGATTATCACATATATTGAAATCATGTCATTTGATACCAAGTGTTAGTGTCACATCTGTCTTCTTTCCCCTCTGCACTGGAAAGGATCGCCTCTGTTTCTCCGGCCTCAGGCTTGGAACACCCATGCCGAATGCAAACAAATGGAGCTATATGCAGCACGTGATAACAAAATATATCTTAATCACACTTATAATCATATTTTTTTGGCATGTGTATATATATACAATATGTAAATATATATATATGTATAATGATATATATATATATATTTAAAATGATATATATATATATATTAATATATGTATGTATTATATACAAATGTATGTATGCTTCTGGATAAGCCTAACTTCATACCCATCCAAGTGGAACTAGAACAGCAAATCGTATCTAATCCGAACATTGCATATGTGAGGAAATCATCTGAGCTATTCCGCAAATTGAAATCGCGGCATGACCACCAACATCAACCTGCCAAAGCAACGTTGTCCCAAATGGTCATTGTAAGTTGCCATGGTTTCAACTGCTTGCAAACCAGCTTCGTGTGATCCCCAACTTGAAGTAAATATATGTACTGTAGTAAAATCCCATTGTTTGCTATACCTAAATAAATCTCGTTAAACCACCATTGCGGGCTATTAAATGGCCTCATTCTTGCAGCTAGATTCCATTTTTTATGTGGCTCTCTCTCTCTCTCTCTCTCTCTTCATCGCCATGAAATTAAAACAACATATCCAATATTTTCTTCAAGGACCCAAATGGCCGTTGCCTAACAAAAATAGAGGATCCTCTTTTCACCCTTGGTTTCACCACGCTTAGAACACCCCATCTGACACTGTTGGTTCCATATTCCCACTACTGTATATACCTCCTTAATATCTTGTGCCTATATCATACGAATATGGTTGGTTTTCTATGGTTTTCTCACTATGGCCAATGGAATGTTCTTGTTATGCCCTTTCTTATGTTCCCATTCTATTCCAATCAATATTCCCATTCTTCTGGCCCCTTGATACCCCAATGGTGAAGATTCCAATGCCAATACCTGATTGTGAATCTCTAATTATGCTGACTATCAATCGAAGATCAACACATTGGCAAAGATTGCCCAAAGATTGCCCAACATCCGGAATGTTGACAAAACAAATAGCAAAGGAACAAAACAAATGCCAAAGTGGGGTTCTGATATTGAACCAAAAACTCTTGATCTGAGAATATCTGAGATCTGGCCATTGTCCTGTGAAAGCTGGCCTCCTGCTGTCTAATTTCATAACCTTCCACCACAGCCGGTCCTCGTTGTCAAAGGGTCCTTGGAAGGGTGTGGGCGACTTGCGTTCACGCGGTGGTTCTGACCTGAAACGTTGCGAGTGTCTTAAGGTAAAAACCCTGATCATAAGGTGGGAGTTACATGAAGTTACTGTGTGAAGTTGAAGTCTATACCATCCGGTAATCAAACATGGCTGGAACATTCCCCATTTATAGATTATTGTGCCATTGATCGTTAAACATCTCCATTTATAGGGGATTTCCCATTCAATATGCTGCATTTCCCGGGCATTTCCATGGATTTCCCAGCTAGATCCCTTTGGAGTCACGATGACAGCTGGCCAAACTGGCCACACTGGAAGTGTAACATTTCATATGATTTCTTTACAAACATAAGGGTTTAATATGAACTCTTGTCCATGATAGTACATGTAGTGATATATATATATATATACACACATATATGTACATATATAAATACATATGCAGAAAGCATAGTTTGATACACTTTGTACCTACTAGTCACTACCAAATAACTCTGATAAATAACTAATGATGCTATTTCGATTCATGAGGTAGTGCTATATTCACCCTTGAGGGCAGGCAACTCTACATTGATCACTGGATAACAGTAAATCCTTCAAACGTAGAGTTCAGTTGGATTCGTTAGATCATCCCTTGAAAGCATTCTACACTGTAGCGGAAGAATACTTATGGCTATGGCTATTTTCCATACATCCCTGTTTGATGCTTGAAATTCACCGCTTAACGCGCCGCATCGCGTCCCACCTGGGAATGTTCATCAGCTGCAGCGAAGCTTTGCTCTTCAGAAGCTGGTTCTGCTCTTCAAGCTGCGAAACTGCCTTCAGCACGCAGGGGTTGTGTTACAAGTATAAAACAAACTATAGGAATTCTCAAGGAACTGTAGTAACCGGAGTTTCACTGGAACTATTTGAGGGGAAGTGTTTCAAACAAAAATGCATGTATCTGTATATATATATAATGTGTTGCTGTGAGACATTGTTTGATATTGTTTAGTGTTTTCAAACCGTCCGAAGATGTGCTCGTCATTGGGGATCATCTGGGCAAGCCTTGGTTGATATACCCTCTGATAATTTAGCATGGCATATAGAACATCACCATCTTTAATCAGAAAAACCATCTAAAAAGGGCCAGTTTCTATGTTTAATTTCCGGAGGCTACCAGCAGTATCTTCATAAAGTAGAATCATCGCCCATTTTTCCCATACTGTTAGATGATCACAGGGTACTCCTAATTTTCTCCAGATTATCATACAGATTATTGATTAATATATATGGTTGTTGATCAAAATTCCTTTATCCCGGAACGGCCATTCTTCGCGAATAAAAAAATTACTTTCGCGAATCTTTCGCGAACTCCATGTTTATCTTTCGCGGGGCCCATGTTGGCCAACAACACCTCTTATGAAGATTCGTTCACCACCTGCCAAATTACGCCAGAGAATCACGGATCACTTCTTGGTAGCCTTTTAAACATGCAGCTAGCATCACGGAATCCCTTCTCAGGACAGATTTTCTTTTGCAAAGTTTACTGGCCCACCCCCTTCAACATGCACTTTGACTTTTGCCCGCTCTTTCGCAGAACTTTCGCGGAACTTTCGCGAAAATATCCCTATTCACAGACCCCGGCCATCACAGGAGGGGGTGCACTGAAGGAAAAGCGAAGACCAGGGGCCTTGGTGTTTGGCTCTCGCAAAGCATCACTTTTGGAAACTTGGCTACTGCTACTCGCATTCTCTGGTGCCCTTCTCCTGCCGGACCCCGGGCGGCAGTGGGTGGCAGCCCTTTACATATTTAATGATTATAATACCCAACTTTCGCGAAACTTTCGCGAAAGAAAATTTTACTTTCGCGAACTCGAAAAAAAAACTTTCGCGAGGGTTTCCAACATAACATGCACGGCTTTCGCAATTAAAACTCCTTACAAGGACCTTTAGATCGATCACCATATATATATGTGTGTGTATGCACAACAATAATGATACAATACAATTCATGTACATATGTATATATATATCATCATCATCATCACCATCATCATCTCCCTGGTATTAATGCGATTCTATCTATCCCCAACGCCAAGGGCGCTTCGCCTTCCACGGCCTGACATCTTTTGTTCGCGCCTGAGCCACGCCGCTGCAAAGAGCCCGAGCCTTTCGCACCACCTGCCAGGTGAATCCGGTGCCGCGGTCGATGGAAATTCGAAGAAGGGTTTCCAGTATCTAGCGTTCCAATTGAGCCTAAGTTTCCAAAAAAAGAAGAAAAATGCACAAGTATCAAACTATTCAAACTATTCAAACTTAGGCTCAATGGCATTGTTCTTTTGGAAAGGTAGAAATGAGTAGGAACATGTGGGTTTGATAAAGGTAGAACCGTTCTGAAAAATGCATGCTAACCTGGAGGCTGATGATTTCCACAGACGAAGGTCGAAGTTGGGAGACTGACTATGATTATGATTATGGTATTGATATGGCTATGGATCAATACCTATTAATACCATTTTTAGTGGGATGAACATCCATTTACCAGCTATTTTGGGGTTCACTAGGTACCAGGGTTTTGACCCATCCCCATATTGATATTCATGAATTCATAGTACCATGAATATTATGATGATATTAATTACCATCACTATGATTATCATGGTATTGATTGTTCATTTCCTCTTTGACTGCGATACAAAAAATATATCATCATGTTTGTCATCATGATTATTCCTCATTATGGGTCTGTCTGAAAATGATGTATAACCTCTAAATGTGTTTTTTTTTTGCCAGGGCCTCCAGAGGTTTTGCCCTACACTTCGCCAATGCTTCGGCCTTCTAAATGGCCATTTTAAATGATCTGGTTGGTGGTTTTTGCATGTTTTTAACCATCTTGAAAATATGAGTTCGTCAATGGGAAGGATTATTCCAAAACAAATATGGAACATAAAATTCATGTTTGAAACATTTTGAAACCACCAGCCAGGGATGGCTAACCAATGGATTTAGAGGTGATTTTTGTTCATCGCTAGCCGCTGAGAATCCCAACGGGGTCATCGGCCAATAGGCTTGGCAAGTTGCCATCATCCTGGAGAAGTGGGATAGTGGGAGAGTGTCATTTTGATTTATAAAACATGAAAGGGATATAAAAACATATCAATGGGAATTTCAGGATCCTAAAATGGAGGTACTGTACCATATAAGGCCATATTTTGTGGGGATATTCCCTTACATAGGCCTTACATAGGCCTTATATATGATAGGTACCTCCATTTTAGGATCCTGAAATGGCCGTTCAACATATAGCAAACTGAAGAGGATATATCTCTATAATCCCTTCCCCCTATTACTCAACCTCCCCTAAATAATAAAAACTAGGGTCCAGCTCAAATTTCAGATTGGCCAATTTTACTTTTAATTGATCCCCTTTAGAAAACAATTTAAAAATTAAGCTACCATTTGTGGGTTTCACCCCCTATAACAATAAAAACTAGTCAGCCCCGGGGTTTTTATTATTAGGTTCCGCCCGAACATTTTTAGTTTTTTATATTAGGGCTTTTAGGTTATTATTAATTATTAGGGCCCGCTTCGAAAATCAATTTTTGGCAATATTTTCATTGCGTTATAAAAGGAAATTCAATTGATTTTGAAATCGGAACAACTAGTTTTTATTATTCAGGTTTTGATTTTTTTTAATAGGGTCCGCTTCGAAATCCAATTTTTGGCAAGATTTTGAAATCGGAAAACTAGTTTTTATTATTAAGGTTTAGAAATTATTAATAGGGTTCCCTAATAATAAATACAACCCTAATAATAAAAACTACCTGAGGTGTTTATTATTTGGGGAGGGGGGGTTAGTATTAGGGGGAAGGGATTATTGTATGTATCATCATAATTTATTATTTTTAACTATCAGTGTATTATCATATTATACATGTCGGATTTTGGGGTGTATATGCTTAGAAGGCCTTTCTCATTAACCTGAAGATCCATTGGATCATCATCCGGCTGGAAGGATGGATGCTTTTCAAGAATTTTACAACCCGTCAGATCTTAGCACATCGATGTCAATGTACCCTCTGGCAATCAAACATGGCAATGGCAAATTCACCATTTATAGTTCATTTTCCCAGCTACAAACCTACATTTATAATGGTTTTCCATGGTTTTTCCCATATTTTCCCATGATTTTCCCATTAAAACCTCCATTGATCATGTTTTCCATGTGTGTTTCCCACATTTTCCCATGATTTTCCCGCAACCCTTGCCCCAAAATGAGACGGGCCCAAAAAGGGACTTCATCAGTTGGGACATGAGGCCCTTCCGCCGGTCACCCGCGTTGATAACTGGCGATGCCGAAGGTTCGTATGTACCCCATTATAATTATATATAATATGGATTTGAAAAAAATATATATATATACTTTATATACATAGTCTATATATATAAATAATAAATGTACACATATAGTGTACATATATATATATGTGCCCTGTGCTGCATCATTTTGTTGGGTGGTTTCGGCTATATCATGCTATATGATACTGTATCCCATATCATCCTTTTGAACAATCAGCATCAATCGCCATTTGGGGGGCCGTCAATAAATTTATGGGACGAAAAGTCCTTATTTTTTGGAAACTCTTCTCTTCAGCAAATTTTGATGCCCATCTAGGGGGTATATGGGGGTATACCGTACGGAACCGATATACTCATTTTTCCACCCAAAGCATTCTTTGGTTGTTTCTCTTCCGGAACAAATCCCAAATCAATGGCCATTTCAGGAACCTAAATTGGAGGTACCTACCATATATAAGGCCTATGTAAGGGCTATGTAAGGGAATATCCCCACAAAATATGGCCAAAAATGTGGTACAGTACCTCCATTTTAGGATCCTGGAATTCCCATTAACCAAAAGACTCGTACTGAAGTATCCCCAGGCCTACCCAGAATCAACCAATCCTACCTGCGCCTCGATAGCTGGCGAAGGCCAGTGTCGCGCAAAGCGTGCACGTGCCTCAGGCAGTGCGGTCTACGGCGGAGGCATGCAGTTGGGGTCGTAAAAGCTATGCATACCCTCTGGTAGTTATGCAAAATCATACTTTTTTTGGGTAAATTATGGTAAATTTTCGTAAATTGTCTATTAAATATCGGACATTTTTCCATAGCTATGTTAAATAACATGGTCGGTTGAAAACCTAGAACTGGACATGCAAAATGTGTCAAAGCATGGGGATTCAATCAGAAACAAATGGCAGCAATTGGCAAATCAAGGTTTAATCCGTTAAAATAAGAGACTAAACCCTAATTAGGATATGATTTGCCCTGAACTATGGAAGGATGAAGGTTATAAAATCCGACCACTACACCAATGATTGAACCTGTTACTTGTTGCACATCCTCGGGTTATGTGTTCCTTATCATAGTTCGTGCTGAATCATTACCATCGTCATCATTATATATCACCTTGCCTTTTCCATCAAATGGGATAGAAGCCATAACTAATGGCTTCAGCCTGATATTAAATATCCCCTAGAAACCCTGGTTTGGCTTAGTGTTGAGTCTATTCATGAATTGGGGATCCATATAGTAGTGGGCTAATTCATTTGATATTGGCTACATACATATTCCGATTTCCGGATGTATAAACAAGCATAAACCAACTGCTAAGAACATATATTCTATTGCATCAAAATATACCCCTTGAATCCTCTAATATGGCTATCATCCTGATTATATACTTGTCTCATCATTATCCCGTCATTATTGGTAAGCAATATCCCATTATCATACCATGATTATGATTATAATCCGGTAAACTATCATTATCCCATTATATCCCCATTATTATATCATGATTACCATATTTTGGGATTTCCCCCAACTACTCCCCCACGTCCGGCCTCGGAGAGGCATCGGCGACCGGCCGCCGCTGCAGCGCGCTCCTGGTTTTTCAAGCGTCCCCCGGTCGTTGAGTGTTCACTCAGTTCATTGGTTGACATAGGTTATGGCAACCCCAACATAGAACATAGATAGAAATGTTGGAATCCTATGGAATCCTGGAAATATGTAGGAAATGATCTTCAATAACATCCTGGAAAACATTCTTCCGCATCTTTTCGGGGCGAACAACATCCCTCTAGATGTTGGCAACTGAACATCCTGGTTTTCATGGGAAAATCAAATGGGAAAATCCATGCAGAATCCATATAACCTGGAGATTCCATTGTAGCACTTCTTTCTGGCAAACCCCTGGTTGGATACACTTTCTGCCATCCCTGAACGTTTTTTGAGGGTCTGCGCACTTTTTGGTGGTTTCAATGGATATGAGCACTTTTTGGGGTTCAAACCCATTTTACACCTTCGTATCTATTAAAACTCTTGGAGAAATCCACAAAGTTACAGTAGCCCATACTCAAGCTGGTGGAAGCCAATCCTGGAAGCGAGTTTTGCATCTAAATTAGCATCTATCTCCTAATTTATGCTTCCTGGGGAGGATGCACATTGGGACCAAACTCAAAAGAATTGATTCTACACATTTGTCTGTGTTTTGACATTTTTTGACGTTTTGGACAACTTGGTACCCCGCAATCGGGGCGCAAATTCGCGCAATCAGGGCGCAATTTCGCGCAATCGGGGCGCAATTCAAAAAGTGTACGGGCACTACTGACACTTGCCTCCCAAATGTGGATATTCAATAGCTTAAGTGTCTAGTCCGGCCCATCCAAGTGAATTTGATGACTTACTTGCAGCAGCGGTGAATGATGTTGGTTGCGGAGAGCCTAAGCAGCGTGATCCTAAGCATAGCGTGATTGTGTCAGTGTATGTTGCAAGAATCCTTGGGGATCCGGCTGTTTGAACATGTGGGGGTGCCCGACAAAATGAAACAACCAAATGAGCACTTTTTAAGGGTTTGTAGCACTTTTTTTGGAAATGAGCGTTTTTGTTTCTGAGCACTTTTTAGTGTATCGAAGGAAGGTTCAGGAAATCATATAAACCACATATATTTATCTATGCATATATATATATAATTTGTGTATATAATATGTATAGATGGTGGATTTTCCACTGCCACGTTTGAATACCGGAGGGTAACTGTTGGGTTTCTGGTGAAGCTTCTTGGGTGAAACTCAAGCAACGAACATAACTAGGGTGACCGTCAGGTGACCTGGGACAATATAGGGGCCTCCCCACTAAACACATGGGTATCATGGCTATAGAAACCAAAAACACCACTGGGGATTGCAGATTGTGCCAACCGTAGATAACCTGCAGCTGACACTTAGATAAGTTTGAGCGGAAAACATATTCCCATTGAAGACAAACGATTACTCTGTAGTTAGTACTCAAGCACATATGCAAGGTTGTCCCACATTCCCCTTGTTGTCATTTTTTCTGGATGATGTTTTTGTGCTATATCAGGCGATTTCCTCAATCTCCGTGCTGTCACCTGACTATGCTGGAAAAAACTAAATGAACAAACGTATATAAACACATAATGCGAACCGCAATCCAAGCTCAGGATTTCTTTCCATTTTGCTCATCATCGTTCATCAAGTCATCAGATAGTAAAACTGCTTTAGGAAAGAAATTTACATGTCATATGCCACTTTTGGATAAAAGTTGGAATCTAAACTCGCGAAATGCTGAGGAAATTTGGGCTACACATGGCTCCACCAAGTGGCTGCAACTTCGAGCCTCCCGGAGAGCTCTCTTGGTGGCTGCATCTTCCGCAAGGCGGTCGGTCCTGAGACATCGCTGTTTTTCATGTCACTGTGTTTTGGGGGATGATATGCACATGACAAAAACCTGCGGTGTTTTTTGGTAATTACCCTCTGGTATATTAACATGGAACCTGGCAGTTGTCGGGGTTGGAAGGCTAGTTTCCACTATAAATTGGTCATTTTCAGGGTCTATGTTAATTTACCAGAGGGTACCATGTTCTTTTTACGTATATATGCTGTATCTGTATATAAATGTATGCATGCATGTGGCAATGGGAAACAAAACACGCATATCAATATACAACTGCTTGGTGGTTTCAACCCCTCTGAAAAATATGAATTTCAGTTGGGAGTATTATTCCCAACATATGGAAAGTCATAAAATTCATGTTCCAAACCACCAACCAAACAATATAGGGGCTGGGATTCACCAGGAAAAATCTCTCAGTGATGGTGAATCACTCATCATTTCAGGGCGTATCTCTCTGTGCGTGTGCGCATGTTTTTTGACATAGCCATGTTCCAGAAATCTGCCATATGATTTCTAGATGAATATTACATATAACTCATATAGCATCATATAACCATTTCTGGTCCAAAAAATCAGCCATCACTTCTAGATTATAGACTACTAATTAAAAAATCACAGTATATAAACCATCATCATATTCAAAACAACAAAAACACAATCTCTCCCAATTTACCCTCTGGTAAACAAAACTATGGAACATCACCATTTTTAATGGGCAAATCGACTATTTCTATGGCCAGATCATTTCAAGATAAAAAAACACCCGATGCATCCCCAACCAGCCCCCAGTGCGTCCAGGGCGCTTCTCGTGCATCACCCGCGCGAAGTGCGCATCATGCGCCACCTTCAATGCCTCTGAACGCGCCTGGCCCTCGTAGCCCGCCTGGCCCGAAAAGGAACGCCCCGAAGATGCTGGCACAAAATCCCAGAAATCTTATTATATTGGATATATGATAATACTTGTATCTAATCTAAATGTTGCTTTTATAATCTTTTATAATATCATATAATATCAATATCTAATTAGAGACTCTGTTCATCTCTGTTCAGCAGAGATTTGGGTGTGTCTTTTGGATCAGCCATTCCTCCAAATCCAAGTGGGTTGGATTGCCTTTTCAGCTGCCTTTTCGGGGGCCACCGCATAAACATGATATATAGATAGAAATAACATATAAATGCATGCTGGGATGTGCAGCTCAAGAATGGCAAGTGGATAATAATTCCTTGGTTACTAGACCCATACCACACCTCACTGGGTCTCTCATGAGCACTAACCACTTACTAAGTGGAATGCACATCCAATTGGGGTATTGAAACAACAGCAACTGGATGATTTTGCACACGGGTACCTCCGGAATCAAACATGGCAATGGGTAACTGCATCTTTGCAATGGGAACATCATCCATGAATCATACCCTAGGTATTTGAGCATCGGAATTCCCAAATTGATTGACAGGATAATATTTTTCTATGATGGTATAGATGACAAGTTTCTTTCAAGCCTTTAACATCCTTCAACATAGATATACAAAGAGTAAGGGTTATGGCAAGTCACGAATGAGGAATCATATCCCCCACGGGTCATTTAAAGGTGCTCTGTTGGGTCATCAGAACGCTTGCTTTTTCACTCCACGGCTCAAGAAAATCATCATGAACACCTCCCCAAAAAAGAAACCTAGCTGGATCTGTCGATTTTTGGGTCCTCTATGTGGTTTCTGCCGTAAATTCCTGAGCAAATCAACACCGCAAGCACGTTTGGATCCTCAAATCGCCCGGACGGTGTCTTCCGAATCCGTCTGACCGTCTGACCGGGTGAAGAACCCTCTTAAAATCGCTGGTAGGTTATGGATCTTCATGCCGAAGTTCCCAGCGTTCCGGTGGCATGACCAATTGTGAAATCTCCCAACATTTCCATTTTGATGGTTCAATCGCATACCTCCCAATTTGAATGGTTGAACCGGTGAACACCCCGGGTTTTGGACAGCACCTCAGCAACACGTGCAGCGATCACAGCCTCTCCTGGCGTTGGGTTTCAGGGGCTGGGCAGCCATTCCATGGGGAGATGGGAATCGAACACATTACCCTCCGCTAATCAATCGAATCGTGGCAATGGAAAATCACCCATCTATACATATCTATACATATCTATACATATCTATACATATATATATAATTATATATAAGATTATGCGGTTTGTATATGTAATTATATGGTTTATTTGGATTCTACATGGATTTAATATGGTTTATAATAGTTATAACTGGCGTTTAACATCTATAATATTGATGACGTTCACATTGAAACTTCCATGTATAGGGGATCTCCCATTGCCACGTTTTATTGCCAGAGGTAGATTTCATCAAAAGAGAGGAAAACTCTTCCCAGCTGGAAACTCAGCTGATTTGGCAATTGCAACTTTTGGTGGTTGGATATTGAGTGTCAAGGGTGGTTCGATAAGCAAGAATGAAGCCCCGGGGCAATCTAACCCGGCAGTGGCCATGTTTTATCACCAGGACAACCAAACAATCCAGTTGACAGATCAGATGCAGCCCTGGTCCGACAAGGAGTGGAACAAAATCAGCTGATTGATGACCCAACGAATGTATGATAAGATATGAAAACAGTTCTAGTCATAGTCCCAAAACAACTATGGTAGCTGGTTCGTGGTTTGGTCCGCAGCGTCAACAATGATTTCTCGATCAACTTATCCGCAGTAGTGATAGATTCTAATAGATGAACATGGAATGGTGTCCAATCGTTATCAATTTGGCAATATTTGATGTGGAATCCCTCGGGCTCCAAAAAAAGTTCCAATGATCTCCTAAAACAAAAACAGAGCTTCGGATTATGATTTTCGTCCTGGATCAGCATTGACCTTTCATCCCGACAAACACCGTTGCTACCAGTCAAACCATGTTGAAACATCAAGCATTTAGAACGTTTTAAAAAACCTTTCAAAAGCCTATCTCGTGATTCTAGTTGTGCCCACTTGACTTAGATCTTGTCTAACATTTGGTTCTTCGTCTACCAGGGGTTGGCAAGCCTCTGATTTACACAAGAAAATGAGTTGGCAAGTTTGCCCTCTTGCTCTTGTTCAAATATACCAAGCATCTTACGTGAGTGCTAAGTGCAACTAGCTTCGATTTGTAAACGAATCTATGGCCCATGGACGTATACCCCCTACGCGGATTGTGGTTTTTGAGGATTCAGTTGGCGTCCGAAGTTGTCAACTTACTTTTTTTTCCGGCCCGCCGTTTACGAAAACACACAAGCAACATGAGATATTTGCGAAATGAGTTTCTAAACATAGACTACCGCACAACCTCTTGATTGGTCATTCTTTTCAACACGTGGTGTTTTTTTTGAATACCCCCAAATCATCCAAGTCATCAGATCATAAATGTGGTTAATCGGTTCACCGTTGACCCATGGTGACCTGGGGATCCCCGAAAAACCCGGCTGCCATCTCCTTGGGCTTGTCTTGCTTTCTTGGTGGCGGCTTTCTGGACCTGGACGTCAACAGTGTGGAACTTCATCAAATGGCCCGGAAGATTATTGGAAGATGATGATATCGAGTACTCTATAACTAATCTCTCTCTCTCTTTATATATATATATATATAAAATAATTATATATATATATATGTATATTTGCTATATATATATATGTGTGTAAATGATATCTATACTATATATGTATATATTTAATATATATATGGGTATAATGATGATATGCTGTAACCTTGCCATAATGATATGATTGTTGTATTGTCACCTCGGGGCTGCCAGCACATCATTTTAGTGCGCCATGGCGGGCCACCGGATTTTTCGTAGCGGGCCCTCATGACAACATGGCCATCCAAAAGACTTTATCTCCCCGAGCCATGGGATTCCCAAAAAATTTTCCCGGTGTGGCCAAGCTTAGATACCTTAGGACCTTGCATCGTTCAAAGCCGGCTAGTATATAAATATATATGTACATATATAGAAATATATATATATATATATATCATATATTCCATGTTTTGCAAACATCTTACTGTACTCAAAGTAGTTGTCCAACTGGTTTACCCATGCTGAGCCGGAGAGAACGTAATGACCAACGTATTGTTGATATGGTTACTCACGCTTATTGATTTAGCCAATGTTGACCCAGTAAATCATAGCGTTGGCCATTGCACATTCTGTTAAGATATAATTATATATATGTATATGTGCGTGTGTTTGATATCAATATTCCTAGTATGTATATATATATATATATATATTTAAATACATATTACCCTCTGGTAAACTAACATAGCTATTGAAAATGGCCATTTATAGTGGATTTTCCCATTAAACATGGTGATTTTCCAAAGTTATGTTAGTTTACCAGAGGGTAAATACATTTAAATACACCTAGTCTATCCCTATTCTATAGGTTAATAATCAATACTTCTGGGATCCTCGAGATACAATTTTTTACGGATGGATGAACATCCGTTTGCCATTTGCAGGCTATCTATGCTATTCCGATGTGAAAACCATGGTGCCATGAAAATTACACATTGCCATGTTGCTGGGTGTTTTTCCGTAACCAAAAAAAGGTGGGATAGGAAAACCCTAAAATAGTGATGGCCGGAAAATATATCTTTTTGGTGCTTACTATACTAAAACATCGAATCATTATTCAAGATCATTCAAGTACATTTTAATTTGCAGGATGCTTCAATGATTTTCATGTGGTAAATCGCAGTTCTACCAAAAAAACATCCAGACAAATCATCACGAAACAATATACCATATAATATTATATAATTTTCACATCCAATCATTTTATATAACCCTTATATAACCATTATAACCCTTTAACCCCACCACCGCAAAAAACAACCACCCCGCAGATGAAAACTGCCCCGCTGTTCCCTCGATGTTGACGCTGGTCCGCCTCCTGTGTGGCCATTCTCACGCAGTGCTCCGTGTCCACGTTGCCGCCGTGCAATTGCGCCTGCGCCGTCGAAGAGTGGCCCGGTGGACATGCTTTTTCGGAAAAACATTAAAGCCAACAAACAGTATAATATGATATATGTGATGTTTCCAGATTTTGGGTTTTCAATAGATGGCCAAACACCAACTAACAAAGTGTGTACTGTATATCAACCACAGTCAGCGACCTCAGGGATCCCAATGATCGAAAAGTAGTCAATTGAGCCATTTCTGGTTAGCAATTGAGCCACTCCCCTTGAGTAAGTTCGGAATCATGAACATAAAAACCATATAGACACATTTAAACAGCGGCTCGAAACCCACCAGTGAGCCATATTTGATCTTGTGAAACTCCACTGATCTGTTCATGCCTTGAAACAAATACACACACACACACGTCTCCAGGAATGAGTGCCTGAGAAATCTGGAAAGAAGCAGTTCTCCATCTTCCATGATGATTATAAATTTAACGAATGTCTACTCAAACAAACGCCATCTCTCAAGATTCTTCGACTAGTGATGATTATTGGTTGTTGCTAGTATCAGTTCAAATATGTTGAGTTATGTTGAAATCATGGCTGACCACTATCCTCAGCTATGAACCCCTGAGGTTCCTCGGGGCATCGAGCAGTCGGGGGCGATGAAAGATACTTGGTGGCCCATCCAACGAATCCGGAAGTTCACAAGTTGGTTACCCTCAGGTAAACTAACATAACTATGGAAAATCACGATTTTTAATGAGAAAATCAACTATAAATGGCCATTTTCAATAGCTCTGTTAGTTTACCAGAGGGTATAGCCCCAGGTATAACTGGACTAACGTTGCTTAGCCTACCTGTAATTCATTTGATAAAACACTTACGATACCTAGGTATTACCTGGGATGAGCCACCAAGTGCCAAGTGACCCTCTCTTAATTAACAAGTGAGAAAAGGACAACTATGTGTGAAACTGACATGACAGTTAACTCGATGATGCCACCCAACTTTGTCTCAGTTGGTCAAGTTTTAACCATCTCATGATGGATACAAAACAGTACAGCTGTAAATCATGTACATCCATCCAACCCATTCGCAAAGCTACTTAATTAGTTAAACCAACTTCGCCCCAAATCATTGGTTTTCAATGGTTTTCACTGTTAAAATCATCAAACAAGCTGGAAACATCATTGGTTTTCATTGCTTTCCACCATTAAAATGACCATTTTTCAAGGACGAGTTGGACGAAAAACTGGCTGCACCTTTAAGGCTGCATTCAAGGCTGCCGCTGCGACAGCGGCGGACTCGATGCCGCTGCCGCCCGCCTGTCTTCTCTGTTTTTTTAACCGTGAATGCACAGTAGCCCATGCAACCCCCAAAAAGATAGAAGAGTGATCTATCCACAATTTCAGGGTTTTACTTTTCTATCTTTGGGCAGGTTACTAGATATATGTTGTCTTGATTTTTTTTGTGAAAAATGTTGCTACGTGATATGTTGATATGACTTCGCACTATTTTGCATGTTTGTTCCCCCACATGATTACAACAATGTATATATATAAATATCAATATATTACAAATGTATATGACGATCACATGCATTAGGATGTTGAATAATTTGGGATTCAACACATAAGAAGGGACGTAACTAAGTAACAGGCCATGATGCCAATGTCAAGCCACCAAAACTTATACAACGGAACTGGTTCGGAAAAAAATGGTTTAAACAACTGATTGATCATATATCGGGCTTCAACCGGATTCTGGACGATGATGACTGGGCATTTGACCCGCCCGAAAACATGGGGAGCTATCCAAACTATCCAACACGGGGGCTGATGTAAGAAGAAAAAACTGGAGATGCAACCGCAAGAATTGAAGTTGGACATCCAGCATTTAATGATGCAGATGGGTTTGAAGTCATTTTACGCATAACAGCTATGGAACCCAGAACCATGAAAATCGGGATATCATATAGTCATGTAGCTCATTGAATAGGCACTGATGTCCCTTAGCCAACTATAGCCAACTAAAGATGCACTGGAAATGTACCCGGGGATCTCATGTAAAACCGTTGCATTTTTTTTCAAATGGGACCGGTTGCCATTGAACTTCAAGACCAGTTTGCATACAGCAAATCCAATCTGAGCCTTCAACGTTTCAATCGCCCAAAACTTACCGGCTCTTCGATAAAATCTCACATTTCTAGGAATATGTTTTGCCATGGGCCAACCTTCCCGGTGTACCCCGTCTTTTCATGTCTTTTCATGATTAGCCTCTGATAAGTTGACATAACTATGATGCAAAACAGCCCTATTGTAGATGCTTTACCTATATCGAAAATTGCAATGTTCCATGGATATGCTAGTCTGTCATTAGTGAATTGACGGGATATGCTAAATTACTGGAGAGTATATGGATATTCATTATACAATATTACACAGTTTTTTTGGTTGGGCGATCTATGGCCATCTCTGTCGCCAACCCAGCAATTTTGTAGGCTACGGGGCTCAACATGTCTCCCCATTTGTCGGCAAAGTTCATCAACCCTGGCTCCTTGGCACCCCAAATGTTGCTGGCCTGTTGGGTTACTGGTTCACACATATGAATCAACTAAGCTTAGGATAACTCCTTTCAGCACATGATTGATATGTGCTACTATGTTGCTGTACTGATATTGTCTCCTAATATGATCACTCACCATGTCGCCTTGGATATATGTCCGCCGATTCAATGTGCAACTGTGCCCATGGTGATCCGCACCTGACTCTTATAGGCATCAGCAACAGCCTGCCAAGGTGCAAAGCTGGGCCTATGTGGGCCCCCATCTACAATAATTCGAAGACCTGGTGTTTGAATAAAAGGTTGAAATCTGTGGCATTCTATATGCTATCTCATGCTATATCTTGTACAGCAGATCTACATACTGGAATATGTTATGTCAGAACATTGTAATTCTATATGCCATATCCCAAAGGATCGTGAAGTATCTATAAGGAGTGAGAGTGCTGGAAATGTGGCTGGGTGAAACTTGGAAAGTCATTGCCATGGGGTTGGCAAATGTGTCCGCACATGTTGCAGTACCTCATGTCGGCTGGCGACTGAAAATGGAGTACACCCGCACCATGGCACAATAACCCGTCAAATTTGGACAAACTTTTTTCAACATGTCGACAAATGTGAAGTTTTCCGACCAACCTTTAAGCATATTAGCATCATATAACACTCGTGAAAGTATGGGTTTGTCTGAAAGTTGGGTACCTGCAGTATCCCAATATATCCCCATGAAATCCGTATGGCTGACAGGGAAAATGCTTGTATCATACCCTCCGGCAATGAGACGTGGCAATGGAAAATCCTCCATCTACAAATGATGGTTCCGTTAGTTTCCATTCAAAACTTCCATTTATATAAGATGTTCCATAATGTTCCATAGCTACGTTACTTTGCTGGAGGATATATATATATATATAATACATATATATATATATACACCATCTGGTTATTTAACATAGCCATGGAAAATCCCTTATAAATGGAGGTTCTAGCTGGGAAAATCCTCTATTTCTATGGGCCACCTATACCCTGGCTATGTTAGTCATAACCAGGGGGTATTATATAATATAATGATATTCTTGTCGATTGCAGCCCCACTCGCCCATGCCTTGAGGTCCATGTTGGCCACAGATTGTCCAACCTGTGAGCGACATCCCAGCTTGTGATGGGACATCTGAAAATCATGGGAAAATATAGGGGAGAACCATGGGAAAACCACTATAAATGGAGGTTTAATATGGTTTACTGTAATGAGACAATGATCTATAATGATCTATAAGTATCTATATATACATGAAGGAATTTAAATGGAAGTAAATGGGCCGCCTATACCATAGCAAACTATTGAATTCTCAGATGGCCCAGCTCCACTCCTATTGGGGATGAGCAGTGTTCGAAACACTCTTTCATTGTATATGGCTGATGTTAAGAACGGGATCCACACTTCATGTTTGATGATCATACCCCATATACATATATATATATATATATACCTATATATATATTTACCCATATGTATATATATATACAGTACACATATCTTATTTATATGATTTTCCATGTTTTTTCCATACTGGATGATAATCCCCAACAAAGATTGGATGATGCTTTTTCCGCCGGAAACGCAATTTTTTGGGCCTTGGGGGTGGGTTTATTTGTTCATGGTTCAATCAAGTAGAATCAATTCTACCAGCATATACCAGCATTCCCCCCAAAAAATCCAGCATTTTCATGTTCTGTTGCATGTTAAAATCGTGGTTTCCCAATGTTTCCCTTGCGAAAAATCCAGCAAATCTTCTCCGAGCCGCTCCGGCGAGGCGGTTGGCTCGTTTCAAGGCCTTCTCATCCATCAGCCTGAGCCGGGGAGGTCGAACGAAAAACCACGAAGAACATGGGGCTACCAGTACCCTCTGAATTAATGGGATTTCATGGTTATTTAGTGGGATCTAATGGTGATTAATGGAGGTTTAACCTCTGGTAAACATACAAAAAACTAATTTGTAGCTTTTTATTCCAGTCATTGGATTGAGGGAAAATCTTAACCGGAAACCATGGTTTTTACCATTAAATATGAGGGTTTCCTGAAAATTTTCCCTTAAACCAATCCATTGATTTATGGATGGTTCAAGAAAACACTGGTGGACTTATGGGTGATGATTCAAGAAAAACACTTATGTATGAATATGTTGTTTTTTTTAATGGATGATTCAAGAAATTAACAAGAGATTTGAAAACAACATATGAAGATTTGTCACAAAAACATATAGTATATTTGATCATGATGATTCAAATCAACAAGATGATTTTCCATTATGAATTTCCATATATTTGGATGTGACCTAGTGATTTTCATGATGGGCTTTAGGTGATGATGATCTGTGAATTGTACATTGTGATTCACGAAGGAGTATATGGGAAATCTATGGGATAATTATGGATGAGTTTAAACCAACAAGAACATGTCACATAGTGATTTTCCCATTTGCCGTGCAAATAAGGATATATATATATATAATGGGAGTTTCTTGAAATGGGAAAGCTTTGACATCATCTCAATTATCCGTCGCTCTTAGTGGGGAGACTGGGAGTGGTTTGAGGGTATCCCGATTATGTGAAACACGCACAAAGCCCTGAAAAAGGTCTCATGAAACTTCGATAGTGCATGGATGTGCATTGTGCCGCGCGTTACTTCCATCACAGTTGCAGTGATCATGCTGGGATGGCTCAAGCAGAATTATGGAGGCAAACCATCAGAAGAGATGCATGGGTTATCACCTGGGGACACGTACATTTTTCACCTGGAGTCCTGGGTCAAATTCAATTCCCACTTTGGATAAAAGCTCACCCAGGGACTAGGTCCTCATTTTTTGGCTTAAATCCGTGAGTTGAATGAACAACGAGAAACTCTCCCTTAACACATCCCAACTCAACAAGATTGTCACTGGTAGGTTCAACCCATCCCAAAAACTCTTAGTCAAAGATCAGCATCGCAGGGGTAGAACCATGTAACCATGTTGGAAACAACCACCAAATTTATCGGGCATCATCACTCTTGCTGTTTATAGTACAATCGGCTATCCTCACATGCATTGCAAATAGTGTGGCTTTCACAATAAATCACCATGGAACACCACACATGTCCGGCAAATCATGTCATATCCGCATTGTTTTCTGCCTATTGATCTTCCACCATATATCACAATATCTTCCTGTTTATGCGAGAATTTCATCGGGTGGTCACCCAACATGTCACAAAAACGTCGTCCCAAAACAGAAGCTGCTCGGTGAAGAACGGGATTCCCCCGATCATAGAGCCTGGTATTCCCCAATATATTGGTTAGATTTGGTTAGGAATCCCCAAACCAATCAGTAATCAAACATAATTTATCAATTATATATATCAACTTATATCCGCACAGTGTTCAAACTATCCACTCAGTGTGATAGTAAAAACAAACATATAAGTGACCTGTAAATCATCCATCATGTATCAGTTAATCCCGTCCCCCTATTACTAACCCCCCCAAATAATGAAAAGTAGGGTCAATCTTTAATTTTAGAAAATTTCAGGTTGGTCAATTTGACTTTTAATTGATCCCCTTTAGAACACAATTTAAAAATAAAGATACCATTTGTGGGTTTCGCCCCTTAATAATGAAAACTATAGTTATATAACTCCGGGGTGTTTATTATTAGGGTCCGTCCGAAAATTCTAGTTTTTTTAATTAAGGATCTAAATTTATTATTAGGGTCCACTTCGAAATCCAATTTTTGGCAATATGTTAATTGCGTTATAATAGGAAATTTAATTGATTTTGAAAAAAATAAAAAATACAGTATTTTTTTTAATAGGGGTTTAAATTCATTGTTAGGGTCCGCTTTGGTTCCCTAATAATAAATACCACCCCAATAATAAAAACTACCTGAAGTGTTTATTATTTGGGGGGTTAGCATTTGGGGGGAAGGGATCATATAGCCAAATATTCAGAACTATCCCCAATATTTTGGTGCTTAAACCATGTTAAAACATATGAAATTTCTGCACTCATCATCAACCAATAGAGTCAATAGAGGTTTTGAATACCGGCGACTCGTGCGGCTGGCGCACCCTTCACGGTTCTTGGGTGCATGCAGCTCGCGGCTGGGGGACACCGCCTCCGCCATGGCGGCCATGGCCTGAAGAAATGGTGGTCGTTTTGTGTTTTTTTTGCATCAAAACTGGTCGTTTAAACCAACAGAAATCGTGATTTAACCATCAAAATTGGTGATTTAAGTATCAAAAATTGGTGATTTAACATGATTTAACCATCAGAAATGGGTGATTCAGCAAAAATTGCTAGTGAATTTTGATGGTTTTTCTTGGGAATCGCTAGACATCACTGGGGGTCCATGGTCACTTGCGACCCTAAAAAACGGTCACTTGTGACCCTGAAATTCCCGGTCACTTGTGACCCTAAAAAACGGTCACTTGCGACCCTATTCCTTTAAAAACTCTCACCGCCCCTGCGTTCCACCATGCAATTGTCTCCACTATACCATTGTCTCCATTCTATTTCTTCATTTAAACTTCCCCTCAGCCATTTAGGGTTTGGTTGGGGGGGAGGGATTATTCAACTTAGATCATTACTTGACTCAGCCATTTAGGGTTTGGTTGGGGGGGAGGGATCATTCTACTTACATCATTACTTGACTCAGCCATTTAGGGTTTGGTTGGGGGGAGGGAACATTGAACTTAGATCATTACTTGACTCAACCATTTAGGGTTTGGTTGGGGGGGAGGGATCATTCTACTTACATCATTACTTGACTCAGCCATTTAGGGTTTGGTTAGGGGGAGGGATCATCGTACTTACATCATTACTTGACTCAGCCATTTAGGGTTTGGTTGGGGGGGAGGGATCATTCAACTTAGATCATTACTTGACTCAGCCATTTAGGGTTTGGTTGGGGGGGAGGGATCATTCTACTTACATCATTACTTGACTCAGCCATTTAGGGTTTGGTTGGGGGGGAGGGATCATTCTACTTACATCATTACTTGACTCAGCCACTTAGTGTTTGGTTGGGGGGAGGGATCATTCTACTTACATCATTACTTGACTCAGCCATTTAGGGTTTGGTTGGGGGGGAGGGGTTATACATTACTTGACTCAGCCATTTAGGGTTTGGTTGGGGGGGGAGGGGTTATACATTACTTGACTCAGCCATTTAGGGTTTGTTTGGGGGGGAGGGATCATTGTACTTAGATCATTACTTGACTCAGCCATTTAGGGTTTGGTTGGGGGGGAGGGATCATTCTACTTCATTACTTGACTCAGCCATTTAGGGTTTCGTTGGGGGGAGGGAACATTGAACTTAGATCATTACTTGGCTCAGCCATTTAGGGTTTGGTTGGGGGGGAGGGATCATTCTACTTACATCATTACTTTAGCAGTTGAGATGGAGAGATAGAGAGATAAAGAGATAGAAAGAGAGAGAGAGAGAGTCAACATGTACAAAACACACCATGTTCGGACCGTTTTTAGAAGTTGAGGTAAAGAGATACAGCGATAACAAGATAGAAAGGGAGAGCGAGAGAGATAGATAGATAGATAGAGAGATAGAGAGAGATAGAGAGAGAGATAGATAGATAGAGATAGATAGATAGATAGATAGATAGATACATAGATAGATAGATAGATAAGATAAGATAAGATGAGATGAGATAAGATAAGATAACAAGATAGATAGAGAGAGAGAGATAGATAGAGATAGATTGATAGATAGATAGATAGATAGATAGAAAGATAGATAGATAAGATAAGATAAGATAAGATAAGATAAAATAAGTTAAGATAAGATAAGATAAGATAACATGAGATAAGAAAAGATGAGATAAGATAAGATAAGATAACAAGATAGAGAGAGAGATAGATAGATAGATAGATAGATAGATAGAGAGAGATAGAGAGATAGATAGATAGATAGATAGATAGATAGATAATTAGATAGGTAGATAGATACATAGATAGATAGATAGATAGATAAGATAAGATGAGATAAGATAAGATAACAAGATAGATAGAGAGAGAGATAGATAGAGATAGATTGATAGATTGATAGATTGATAGATTGATAGATTGATAGATAGATAGATAGATAATTAGATAGGTAGATAGATAGATAGATAGATACATAGATAGATAGATAGATAGATAGATAAATAAATGACATGTAGCTTCGAAGCCCTTAAACGAAGCTTTTCTGCGAGACTTCCTTCAAAAATGAAGCTTCGAAACTCAAACACAAAAACTTTTCTCCGAGACTTCCTTCAAAAATGAAGCTTCGAAGCTCTAAAACGAAGCTTTTCTACGAGACTTCCTTCAAAACTGAAGCTTCCAAACTCAAAAACCTAGCTTCGAAGCCCTTAAACGGAGCTTTTCTGCGAGACTTCCTTCAAAAATGAAGCTTCGAAGCCCTTAAACGAAGCTTTTCTGCGAGACTTCCTCCAAAAATGAAGCTTCGAAGCTCTAAAACGAAGCTTTTCTGCGAGACTTCCTTCAAAAATGAAGCTTCGAAGCTCTAAAACGACGCTTTTCTGCGAGACTTCCTTCAAAAATGATGCTTCGAAGCTCTACAACGAAGCTTTTCTGCGAGACTTCCTTCAAAAATGAAGCTGCGAAACTCAAAAACGAAGCTTTTCTGCGAGACTTCCTTCAAAAATGAAGCTACGAAACTCAAAAACGAAGCTTTTCTGCGAGACTTCCTCCAAAAATCATGCTTCGGGCACGAATAGGGTCACAGGCGACCACAAAGGGGCCGCACCATTTTCGTGTGGCAGGTGTGGGACTTCGAGCACACCTGGTCACTTGTGACCCTATCTTTTTTACGTCAAAACGTAGAAACAGTGATTAGGGTCACAAGCGACCAATGTCCCTTAAGAGGCAGCAGCTCCTCGGCATTAAGAGGCAGCAGCTCCTCCCTTCTCCTCTAAAATAGAGGGAGGAGCTCCGTGTCAAGGCTCCCTTCTCCTCTAAAATAGAGGCGCAATGACAAAGAGCCTCTGTTCGCCTCTAAAATAGAGGCATTCCGTCCTCCGCGACGGAGATTCCGTTCTGCTCTAAAATAGAGGCAGTAGCTCACTTTGACGGCTCCCTTCTCCTCTAAAAATAGAGGCGCAACGACAAAGAGCCTCTGTTCTCCTCTAAAATAGAGGCATTAAGAGGCAGCAGCTCCTCGGCATTAAGAGGCAGCAGCTCCTCCCTTCTCCTCTAAAATAGAGGGAGGAGCTCCGTGTCAAGGCTCCCTTCTCCTCTAAAATAGAGGCGCAATGACAAAGAGCCTCTGTTCTCCTCTAAAATAGAGGCATTCCGTCCTCCGCAACAGAGATTCCGTTCTGCTCTAAAATAGAGGCAGTAGCTCAGTAGCTCACTTTGACGGCTCCCTTCTCATCTAAAATAGAGGCGCAACGACAAAGAGCATCTGTTCTCCTCTAAAATAGAAGGATTAAGAGGCAGCAGCTCCTCCCTTCTCCTCTAAAATAGAGGGAGGAGCTCCGTGTCAAGGCTCCCTTCTCCTCTAAAATAGAGGCGCAACGACAAAGAGCCTCTGTTCTCCTCTAAAATAGAGGCATTCCGTCCTCCGCGACAGAGATTCCGCACACGACAAGAGAAGGGAGCTTGACACGGAGGCTCCTCCTCTATTTATTTTAGAGGAGAAAGGGACCTGACGCATGATGCATCATCTCAATCACATCTCTAGTTTAGAGGAGAACAGAGGCCTGGCGTCTTTTCGAGCCGTGTTGCCGTACAACCCTCATGTTGGCGCCCTCTTATGTTAGAGGAGAATGGGAGCCTTGACACGGAGCTCCTCCCTCTATTTTAGAGGAGAAGGGAGGAGTGCTGCCTCTTAATGCCTCTATTTTAGAGGAGAACAGAGGCTCTTTGTCGTTGCGCCTCTATTTTAGAGGAGAAGGGAGCCGTCAAACTGAGCTACTGCCTCTATTTTAGAGGAGAAGGGAGCCTTACATCTGCAAGGTCCCAGACCAGCAACAGCGTGCGCAGGCGAGCCGCACAGCGTGCGCAGGGGAGCCGCAGCCGAGACGTCATTTTCGTTGACCTGCGCGAGAAAAAATAAGCGCGCAATTAGTGCGCGTGCGCGTGCGAGACCAGCATGCGCGTGCGCACGCGAGACCGACATGCGCGTGCGCACGCGAGGCCGTGACCGTTTGCCAGGCTTCAAACCCTTAAAACCCTCCAATTCCCTCGCGGCAGCTTCCACCAAGCCCTCTGGCCGTCAGCCTTTGCTGCATTTGCCTGCACATAGCCCTTTCTTATTAAAATATTCAAGCCTGCCGTTTATCAAACTTCAAACACTTAAAACCCTTAAAATGCTTAAAACCATCCAATTCCCTCGCGGCAGATTCCACCAAGCCCTCTGGCCGTAAGCTTTTTGCTGTTCCAGCATTGCAGCCTGCCCTTTGCCTGCACATAGCCCTCTGTTGTTAGGGCATTCAAGCCTGCCGTTTGCCAGGAATCAAACCCTTAAAACCCTTAAAACACTTAAAACCTTCCAATTCCCTCACAACAGCTTCCACCAAGCCCTCTGGCCGTCAGCCTTTGCTACATTTGTCTGCACATAGCCCTTTCTTGTTCCCTTAAAACCCTTAAATCGCTTAAAACCCTCCAATTCCCTCGCGGAAACTTGCACCCAGCCCTCTGGCCGTCAGCCTTTGCTGCATTTGCCTGCACATAGCCCTCTTTTGTTAAGGCACTCAAGCCTGCCGTTTGCCAGGCTTCGAACCCTTAAAACGCTTACAATGCTTAAAGCCCTCCAATTCCCTCGCGGCAGCTTCCACCAAGCCCTCTGGCCGTCAGCCTTTGCTGCATTTGCCTGCACATAGCCCTCTCTTAACCCCTAAAAACCCTTAAATCGCTTAAAACCCTCCAATTCCCTCGCGGCAGCTTGCACCCAGCCCTCTGGCCGTAAGCCTTTGCTGCATTTGCCTGCACATAGCCCTCTCTTGTTAAGGCACTCAAGCCTGCCGTTTGCCAGGCTTCAAACGCTTAAAACCCTTAAAAAGATTAGCCCTCTGGCCGTCAGCCTTTGCTGCATTTGCCTGCACATAGCCCTCCTTTGTTAGGACATTCAAGCCTGCCGTTTGCCAGGCTTCGAACCCTTAAAACGCTTACAACGCTTAAAAACTTCCAATTCCCTCGCGGCAGCTTCCACCAAGCCCTCTGGCCGTCAGCCTTTGCTGCGTTCGCCTGCACCTAGCCCTCTCTTGCCGTTTGCCAGGCTTCAAACCCTTAAAACGTTGCTGTATTTGCATGCACATAGCCCTCTGTTGTTCCCTTAAAACCCTTAATACGCTTAAAACCCTCCAATTCCCTCGCAGCTTCCACAAAGCCCTCTGGCCGTCAGCCTTTGCTGCATTTGCCTGCACATAGCCCTCTCTTGTTAAGGCATTCAAGCCTGCCGTTTGCCAGGCTTCAAACGCTTAAAGCCCTTACCACTCTTAAAACCCTCCAATTCTCTCTCGGCAGCTTCCACCAAGCCCTCTGGCCGTCAGCTTTTGCTGTTCCAGCATTGCAGCCTGCCCTTTGCCTGCACATAGCGCTCTGTTGTTGGGGCATTCAAGCACATCACTCGTGGCAGCTTCCACCAAGCTCCTGGCCCTCAGCGTTCCAGCGTTGCAGCCTGCCCTTTGCCTGCACATAGCCCTCTCTTGTTAGGGCATTCAAGCCTGCCGTTTGCCAGGCTTCAAACCGTTAAAACGCTTAAAACGCTTTAAACCCTCCAATTCCCTCGCGGCAGCTTCCACCAAGCCCTCTGGCCGTCTTTCTATCTATCTAGCCATCTATCTATCTATCTATCTATCTATCTGTCTGTCTGTCTATCTGTCTATCTGTCTATCTGTCTATCTAGCCATCTAGCCATCTAGCCATCTAGCCATCTAGCCATCTATCTATCTATCTATCTATCTAGCCATCTATCTATCTATCTATCTACCTATCTATCTATCTATCTTTCTTTCTCCCTCTCTCTACAGGACCCTCCAAATAGGGGGGTCGGCGGCACCAGGGCGCTAGCCCATTCTATATGTCTGGGTTCAAATCTCATCTCCATTTATATACGTCTGAATGGTTTCAGAAACTAAATATATTGATACTTGACACCCTAAAACGATGCGCAAAAGGGAGGCTCAGTACCTCACCGTCACGCAACCGCCGCGGCACCTAAAACAGGACCTAATTTCGAGTTTTCTCGTCAAACCTGCCCTCTTAAGTTCACAATGTTTACGATAACAACTTCAGCCCTGGCTTTCGAATATCCCGAAAATTAAACAAAACGTTTTGCGTCGCATTTGGGCAAAATCAAATCTATGATTTTTTTCACGGAGTCCATCTGCAATTGCGGAAAATGCAAGGTATTGCACTTCATCCAAGGTGAAACAGGATAGTGAAACTGTGCTACGTTATACCTTTGATTTCTGCAATATGGAAACCAAATAGTTGTCAAACCGGTACCACAAACCTCACAATAGTTTCAGTCTCAAGGTGCCACTAGGCATCGGAGTTCTTCCGCAAACTCATTCGCCTTTCGGTCAAGATAGCTGAGATGCGTCTTTCGGCTGTCGCTCGTTGTGCTCCTGGAGAGACAAAGCAACAGAGATCCAAGATTCATTCTCCCCCACGAATTGCGTCGGGCCCCGTCTTGACACAATAAATTTCTTTCCCACCACACATTGCATGACATGATGAAAAGCCCGTCCTTTGGCTGGATCCTGCAAACACGATTCAGATTGAATCTGGCACTTGCACATTTGGTCATTTGGTTCAGCGGTGGAACCTGGAAGCAGATTAGAGCAAAGATATGAAAATTGAAAGCAAATGATCAGCCACCGTCCTCGAATTGCCCAAACCTAGGGTCACTGATCAATGTCATGAATGATGTCATGTCGAACTGCTTGAAATCATTCTCAGAGAAATGTGGGGTCTTTTTCAAATTTCAGCCTTCTATGCAAAAAGCATGGGTCTCAACCTGCACTGAGGAGCTGACACCATCCTCTTTCCCATCTTGTTTTTGAACGGAGGGGGATCTGGATTCTTCAAGTTGCGAACACTCCGATAGAAATCCTGAATCGGCTGGACAATTTTGTGCAGATTGGATGGCGCTTTCATGTGTTGATTGACTACCTGGAGTTAAATGCCGTATTAAATAGCATGCAAATATTCCTTGCGGTTTGCATCTATAGAAATCCGTATTCTTTCGAATGCTCGCTGTGCAGTGGCTGCAATGAAAACCATACTGAGACAGTGCCCTTCGCCGCATATGTTAGTACTGCCCTGTCTGCTGCCCTGGGTCCTCAAATGGCTTGACCAGCATCTTCTTCCCATCCTGGGCATCTTCATGCAGCTTGCAGCGCTGCGATTTAATTCAGAACTGCCCTTTCAAGGGTCATAGTCTGCCTCACATCTTGGAATGGTATGGCATCCGTTGGATGATTCAAACAATTTCGAATTTCAGAGTTTTCCGTGACAGTCTGCTCTTGTTCGCCTGTCTTGGCGGAACAGTTTCTCTGCCTTATGGTGGAAATACTTCAGCCACCAGGGGAGGAACTCGGAGAAGTCAGCCTCAAAAATTGTCCAAATCATTCCAATCTTCAACTACGGCAGGTGCCTGACTTCATTCAAAAACCTCTCCGTACTCGCGATTCAGCAAACAGAAATGGAACAACGTTCTCAAAACTGCCATAGACTTCATCAATTCCAGGTGTTGGGTCTTGTCACAAGGCTCTTGGGGGCACGCCTTGCCGCTTCCGTCGGTATCAAGCTGCTTCCAAAAGTGCCTGTCACAGAAGGGGTGAATGAAAAACAAATCCCCGTGCATATCTCCCGTGCAAACATGCAGCTGCAAGATGGCCTTGCACGATTGGGCGGCAATTCCAAATCTGGCGCCACCTGCATTTCAAACCCAAAATCATACACTGCGTCGCTGGTTTGCCAGAATCGTCCAGTGACTCATCATTTATCCCGTCAAGAGACCCCAAACAGTATGGAGGGTAGGAAATCAATGCTTAAAGCTTAAAAAGCAAGCAACTCTATGTGTACGACCTTATACCAGAACCTCATACCAGGATATCAAAGAGAAGTTCACAAGCTCGTCTAAGGGTGACCTTCTGTATAGAGGATATTTACAAGACCTTCATCGAGAGGACTTCACCAGGATTTCCAGAAGATCTCCTCATAAGGATCTGCACAAGATCATACAATGTCGAGGACTTCTCAACGAAGATCTTGACACAAGGATCCGTGTGCAAGATCATGTAAGGACCACTTAGAGGATTTCAGCGGGATCTTCACAAGATCTTCTCACAAGGATCTGTGCAAGATAAAGCAAGGACCTCTCAGAGGATTTCAGCAGGAACTGCACAAGATCTTGTCATAAGGATGTGTACAAGAGAGGACGGCACCAGGATCTCCACAAGACCGCTTAGAGGATTTCATCAGGATCACTTTGTGCGAGGCCGCACAGTTGAAATGCACATGGACATGTCACAACAGCCATTTTAACACGAGAATTTACAGGAAAAAAACGCAAGCCAGTTGGCGTACCGTGATCTAACCCCGGCCTTAACACCTACCGTAAGAACCCCTGTGTGGACACACTGTTTAAGGGAACAAACTGGCTTATGAATTTGACAGGTGAAACTTAGACATCCTTCAACGGCGCCCTGCACAGAGAATTGAGCACCTGGAGGACTTTCCGCAGGACTTCTGAAAATTCCTGGACCGATGTCAAACTTGTTCAAAGCCACAAAAGTTATTCATCCCCGCTGGTCTTGACCAACCTTCCAATCCCGTCTGCTTGGCTGCTTTTTTGTAATCACCACATTTCCATGTGAACAACGCTATGAACCAAGAGCTTTTCAAAATCAGACTTTCCAATTTGCGGGAAAACTGTGCTCTTGCGAGGCTTGGCTGCCTTGGACTCCGATTTGATGACAGAGTCTTTCTTTTACGGTGCTGAAATATCCGTGCATTCGTTACTCAGATCTTAGACTCGTGCGTGCAAAGACAAAAGGTTCACCGAGTCTACTGATTCCCATGAGTCTCCTCGAAATCAATTTCTCCTGATCCATCTGTATCCACCGCGTCAAAGTGACCTTTCGGCAATTCTTTGGGTATGATTCGGTATGATCGGTGAAACTCAAAATGTGATTGTTTCACCTTGTCTAAGCCCTCAAACCTAGACTCTGCAGAAGTGTGCAAACAGGAGCCCTTCCAACTAGTTTTCAACTATACCTTGGGCTCCCCGGCGTTTGACGTTGTGCACTTCTTCCCAAGGGATTCCATACTGACGGCTGAGGCGCCGAAGATCCCTCATGTCCGGTGCTAGCAGCAGGCTTTCGTGGAAGCTGTAGTTGGAATACCTTCACAGCCGATGTCAACCACTCTTCAGTACTTTGCCTGAAAAGGGCGCACCACTGCAAGAATTGCACCAAGTCGATGGTCGTAGAACCTGTGATGGTATGATCTTGGTCATCCTCATGTCTGTTTGAACGGTTTCAGTGTTCGACACCGTTCAACTATTGTGGCAAACATGGATCACATTATTCCAGCTTATCCCTCATCCCTAAGACTGACAAAGATCAGAGGAGTTTTGCAGAAACCCCAATGCAAGATAATCGTTACATATATATATATTCTCACATCACATCACGTCACGTCAAATCACCTCACCTCACATTACATCACATTAGATCACGCTACATCACGTGAAACCAAACTACATCGAATGATATATGATATATGTGTATATACATACATGTACTGTCACATACAAATACGTATGTCATACGTCTATATCATTGAGGTGCTCTGGTTCCAGACTTGGCTCTACGAGGCTCCGCCTTCATCCGCTGGGAAAGTTGAATCACAAAGATGTTCACATTGGACCATCGTAGCCGTCTGTCATGGGGCGACGGATGGTGAAAATGATTGTCTTTTTGTATGATTGCAGCAGATTGTTTCCTTCACCAGCACTTGAGAGATTTCTTAGCAAGTCCACTACTTCTTATGTGCTCTTACCTGTGCCCGACAAAGGCAATGAGCTTTGCGTCCAAAACAAAACCAGGACATGCCAGGACCACTGTACAGGTCACATTGATGGTCTGATGAATCTCCAGAACTGCCTGCCGCATCATGGAACATCATGCAACAATACAATTCAGCAAATCTTGACACAGTGTACTAAACAAGCACACTTGCACAGAAAGGCAACCAGGAATTTCAGTTCCGTCCCAAGTGAATGGTTGGCACATGTTGGCACATGTTGGCACATGTTGGCACATGTTGGCACCTGGACAAAGTCTTCCAACTCGAGATAGCCTTTGTGTTGGGTGTCCTTCCCAGGGGCTCCGTGTACTCATGTAAAAATCAACAAACAAAATCAACAAACATCGACAATTCATGCATACAAAGAACTAAAAAACTTGCGCACCGGCATGTCAGGCGCCTGGTTGTCGAAGGCGGCTTTTGCGAGGCGCGTATCATCAAACTGAGACGTGCTTTGCGGACTCAACAAAGCTGAAATCTCAATGGATCTGCATGGATCTGTATGGATCTTGTATGGACCCGATGGATCTGTTGTGCAAAAGTATGGGAGACTTTGACAATGTCTTGTTGCATATTGTTTCAATCAGTCGGCTCTGAGTTGGAAACTTCCACACTGAGAGCCTGATCAATTCAAAATTCAAGCTCAGCTGCGGACTGACAAGGCTACCATGGCTGCCAGCTGGTGAAGCAACAGCACATTGGTGGAGGTTTGTGGCACTGCTGTTTCCATATCGTCCTGGTCAAGTTGGGTCAAGTCGGGTCAAGTCGCGGAAGATGGAGTTCATTAAGGCAATGTGGTGTCAATTTCATGGAGACATCTGGTGAGATGGGGTTTTCATATGTTTTCATAGCTTTTCCTATACGTTTCATCTTTATTCAGTACTTTATTCATCTTTTTCCATTCAGTGCTTGGCACATCCAATGTGTTCTACACCCCCAGGTCCTCCTTAGCCAAGCGAAAACGTTCCAAGAACTTGGCCTCCCAAGGCGTGCCCGTGAAGAGCAAGCATGAAATGAAAATTAAGATATACCCAATACAAGTCAATACATAATATATATATATAGACAATATTGAGATCGTAAGTTTTCCATATACATCAGAATGAATCTTGACAGGATGGGTTGAGACTCACCAAGTCCATCTCTGGATGAGACAAGTGAGTATTCGTTGACTTTGGAACCGATAGCTCCCTTGAAACCCAAATGCACAAACTATCGAGTAGAAAGACTCCTGTCCAAAAGGAAAAGAGTAATGATTCAAGATTTTTTTCCAAGCCAAGAGAGTGATGTGCATCTGATTTTTAAAGATTTTTTGAGGGCATCCACAAGTCCCACACTAAAAGCACCCGGTCTTGCTGTTTTCTGCGAAAGCCTCCATGCTCTTGTTGACTTCTTGTGCTTGGCATCGTTTTGCCTGGAGTGATCTTGGCAAATTCCAAAGACTCCAAAGACTTGAGGGCTCGACTACACATGTCCTTGCTGGCTGCGGCTACTGCGGCTACTGCTTCAGAACTTTTGGCACCGGATCCGAATAGTATCTGTGTCGTGAGACTCGTGAGATCCACATTTCTTGGTTCCATTTCGGTTCCATGCCATCTCCGCCTTGCTGTAGCCTTTGCTGGTGTACCGACCTGCGCCTGAAACCACGAAATGCACAACTCACATGTTGACATCCAACAACTCCAACAACTCCAACAACCATCAACCACCTATAGGACCTAGAGGACCTAGACTTAATCTTCGGGAGGTGAATTTGTGAGCTGAATCTGCAACTTGGTTAGCACCGATTGGACCAATGGACTGTCAGCTCTGTATATTAATATATATATATATATTCACCATGGCCAATTTAGCCAATCAAGTCGTGATTTCAAGTGATCCAAGGTGCCTTCTCCAGGTTTTGCACGTCCACCTTGAAGAGTCTGCCCCACAACCGGGTACAAATGCATCAAAATAACCCGTGATAAAAAGAACCTGAAGCTTGGCAAAGTGAATCCTTTGACTCTGAATTACAAGTCAAATTCTAAGTGGAATCCTTGCTCAACTTGCTCAACTGAGAAAATCATGGTCTCTGAGCTCAGGGCGCCCTGACCTCAGTGATGCAAGATACAAATAGCTACGAGCTGCGCAAGAGCAGCTTATCAGACGAGTTTTCAGACGTGCATTGACATGTGGCTTGACACATCTTGACACATCTTGACACTTTGAATCCTCTCAAACATGGCCCTTTGGGTGGTTGTTCTACTTTGGGGCTTGGAGTTCTACATTCTCAGTTGCCTAAGTTACTCAAACCACACAGTAGGAACATGCATTTTTTTCTTTCAAACACACAGGAAACCACGAACCCAAGTGGTTGAGCTCATCCATTGATGTGAAGGCTGTTCCGATGGGCTTAGAATCAGACAGAAATGATCGTCGTTTGGACGCTTTGACAACCTGATCAAGGGTCTCGTGCAAAGAAAGCATCCACGGAATTCAGGGAATAGATCAATGAATCAAGCCAATGGGTTGAGATCATCTCAGGTGAAGAGAATGCCTGCATTATCTCCAATGTTGTCGCAACCGAACATATGATATCATCCGTGGCACGGAATCTGACGATGCGTTTTATCTATTGAAACAATGCGAAGGTCCAAAGTGTGGTTGACTTCGGCCTTGTTTGGTTGGAATCTTTCGGCCAAAGTCAACTACACTTTGGAATACCTCCAGCCAAAAAAATGTTGGCATACCAACAGCTCTAACTGAAACGCTACCCCAAAAAAATTATCCGTCAGTCTACTCGTGAGGGTACTCGGAACAATGGATGCTCTCAACATCAACATTTTTTACGGGTGCCGAGTACTTTGCTGAGCCACTTTCAGCCCAACTGACTGCGGTGCGGTGGAAACAGAAGGGGGATCATTAGAAGTCATTCGGTGGCCCCAATGATTCTGATATAGACGGGGACCATCGGAGACCATCGGAGAGCATTGGAGACCAACATCAATGGAACTGCAGGGATCACTTCTTTGAGGACTCGGGATGCTGTCTTTGCTTGATTTTCTGTTGTCCTAGGACAAAGCCACTTCCTGCGCTCAAATGTCAAAGTGTCTGAAGTTGTAGGAACGACCTCAGTCGGACATCATCACATCGTGTAAAATTTGTTTCAGCTGGGTGTATTAGCTGTGTCATGTCGCTCCGACAGGATGTACCCGAATCCACTCTGATCAGCTTTGAAGGACAGCTTTTTCAATTGGTTCCTGGACTTCTCCAAGTCCGTTGCCTTTCTTCTTCAATGCTTGCCTCGGTGCGATGCCGAGCTCCTGTAGAATTGAAGTGGGCCAGACGTTTACAAAATCAGATGGTTTTGAGCGTGTCAAGTGTTTGATCTCCTTTTGGTAAGTTTCAAAACTATGTTCCCGGCTCCAAATTCCACTCCAATTCAACTCTTGCCACTCGGAGCTGCAACCTGAGAACTTGTCCACTGAACAAATCACTTGATCATATTTGATATATATATATAATAATATGTATATATATTACACCATATTATATATACAGTATTATATACACTATATTATATAATATTATGTATACACCATATCATTCATACTATATTGTAGATATGTATGCTCCACATGGCCTCTGAGTTCCTACGATGTACGATCCATGCCATGGAATCACACAAAGCTACAACAGTCATTGAGTGAGTCATCAAAGGAAGTCATACGCAACTTTCCTTCAACTTAGAGTTATACATCATCTTGCCGTAAGCTGGTTTCCAGTGGCAGAGATCTCAGAAGCTCACTCCCGGACATGCGCACGTTCAGCCTGTATCCGCACCATGTGAATTGAAATGGAAATCAAGTGGGTCAAGTGGGTCAAGCCAGGTTAAGTGTGGCAGGATTTCATTGCTTAGAAGGCTTAGAACATCTTAGAACATCTTAGAACCATTGAACTATCATTGAACACATTCAGGGTGTGGGGGACACAGCTCGGTGAAGCAACAAGCTGTAACTAGATTGGGTGACTTTGGCAGTTGTCACAGGTGTCAATGCCTGAGCATGAAAAAACCGACATCATGTGGTTTGTGGTTTTTGCTGCCATTCCTAGCAGAGATTTTCAGGGAATTTCTTTGATTTCCATGGATCAGGCTGCGTGGGAATATGTGGGAATATGTGGGACTTTCTTAAGCTTGTGCAACTTCCGTCTTCGATCAATCTGCCCGTCTTGCCCGGCTCAACTGAATGCTCTGAGAGTCGGACTGCAAGTTCGGTTTCTTGCGTTGCCTTGGAGGTCGAATCACATGAGGGCTGCCCATGCGATAACCAGTTAACATCAGTTATGGGGAAGAAGTCTCCAAAAATGGGCCAAATGAGTAGACTAAAAGTCTTCGAATATCAATTTTTTGGCACAGATCTTAGTGGCAGGTGTTGGGAGGTGTTGGGAGACATAAGATATGTCATGAGATGTCTGAAGACTGCATAGCACCACAATTCTGAGCAAAACATGCGGCATCAAAATGTTTGGATCCAAAAATGGTTCTGTTGCCTGGCTCCTGGGCCTTTTCTGGGCCTCCTGGCGACAGTTTGTCGCAATGCAGCTGCACTTTCGGACTCGAGCTGCGAGATCCGAGCCACAGCCTGGCGATTGAACATATTGACATCCTCATGTGGCCTTTGACATGCCAAACATGCCAAAGATGTGGCCAAACATGTGGCCCATGGTCAACCCTCTGTATCCCTGGGCAAATTGGTGACATGCAAAGATGAAGAAAATTGTCAGATGCATTCCCCAGCAAATGCCGATGACATGATATCTGAGTACAAGCATCTGGGACTGAGAGAAGCTCATGTGTCTCCTCCATTTGGTAAAACAGTCCGGGCCAAACCGAATATATGTTGATTGAAAGATTTCCTTGATTCAGGATCCAAACGTGAATCAAAACACTTCCTCCTTCGTATCCTTCGTATCCTTCCCACGTTGTAGAAATTGGGCAGACCTCTGTTAGCTGCTGCTGACTGGTCGCCAAGTCATGGCTGAGTTGCGACTCCAAAGTCTTGGACTCCTGCAATGAGATAAATTCAAAATGAATTCAAAACACAATAAACACAATAAACACATCAAAAATCAGAATGAATCACGAATGAATCACCACCTGTACCGATGGATCTGATGGAGTTGATGGATGAGACGTATGAGGCAAAGCATTTCGCTTGAATTTGTGAAAACCTCAGGCAAGAGAAAGCAAGCATACATGCGGGCAAAAAAACACAGTTTGGATCTCTTGAAGCAAAATGCAACAGGCACTGAACTGGCTTCACTGGCTGTCATTCTCCACGTCCTCCAGCGCATCAGTCAGCTCCTGACGGGAGACAAACACGGTCAAAGCTTGGTGTTGTGAAGTAGTCAAAAACACGTGAAGTACTCTGCATGGTTACCGCATAGGATAACTTTGGGCGACTCGGCGACTAAAGGTGAAAAAAATCACGGCTGTTGAGGCATCGCAGGCATCGCTCGTGCCTCAGCCACTGCTGCCAACTGGTTCACTTGTTCCTGGCCGATGGGTAACATGGTGCCACACTTGTTGCCACCAGGTTCACCCCAGCTGGCCCAGCTTTATTGATTCACCTTCCTAGACGAAGAGAACGTACCATTTTGCCTAGAACGTGTCTTGGGTCCCTTGCTAAACATAGTCTTATCTATGGTTTCGGGGCTTGAGCAGTAACCTGTGATCAAGCCCGATTCATATTGTCTTCAGTTTCCCAACCCATCGGTCCTCCAACGTTCTGTGGTCTGCAGCCAGAACCTTTAGTTTGGAGCTTTGAAATTATGCAAAAAAACAGCATCTCTTCAAGGACAAATGCCATGCTCTTTGTACTTGGAAGTACAAGGCCTCGTAACACTCCAGTTGCCGGACCAGAGGATTCTCAGGCGCATCTGGGGCGGACACCTTTGGCCACGGCCACCGGGAGGCTTCTAATCAGCCACTGCTTCCATGCCGTGATCGAATTTTGAATCCAATGAAGCAAATTGAAGCAAAATGCTGAAATTTCAATCCCAAAACCACTGAGAATTGTTCCTTCCTAGTCAGCTTGGTTTTCATTGATCCGTTCAAATTTGGATCTACTGCTCTCCCTGGGTTCCATAGGTTGATCATCTTGTGACGAAAGATTGCCGACTGCTGAAAACCCACAAGGACCTCCTGAAGCGCTTGAGCAATCACTTGCTCCTGCTTCTGGATCATCTGCTGCAGCCTTCCAAGTCGCCATGTGGAAAACTCCACTGGGTGTAAAACTATGCAATTTGAAGGTTCTGTACCTTGCAAAGTCTCAGAGGAAATCATGTTGCATAGCTTGAAACGGCAAAAAAAGATGATGTTCCTCAAAATTGTCTACCACAAACTCTCCCCCTGTGCAAGTGAACTGATGAGTAAAGCCGGTTCCAAACTGGAACTTCTAATCCAGCTGGTCACGGCACTAAGCTTGTGTTGCAATCCACTTTCCCGGGCTCCAGGCTGTGCCTTCCAAATTCAGGCATTTGATCAGCACACCTAAGCTCAGTGGTTTGATCTTGGAACTAGAGTTCAAAAGCCTTGAAATGACAACGCTGAAAGTTGTTCCTGGCCGCACCATTCCAATACTGGTTGAACCAAACAGCCCAACACAACACCATGTGCTTGCTGAGAGACTCTCGAACCTCTCTTAAGCCGACCTGCAGAAAAAAGTAAAGAACAAACAACGAGCAGGAACAGCACTCTATTCTGCTGATGCCAGTGCTACTTTTCCGGCGCATCTATGAGGACAAAAAAAAGGTATTAAACATGGTCTCGACAAGGAGCGTGGATGAAATCTCAATGTAACATGGTCTTGGTCTTCAATGATCGATATTTTGAGAGACTTGCGACCAGTTCCCGCCTCAAGCTGGCCCAGGGCCTGAACAAGTGCTCAGAATCTGCAAAGATTTTGCAAACTTTCCATTTTCCAAAACAGTCCCAAACTATGACGGCGAGCATGGTAAGGGTTTGGTGGTATCTCGTCCCTTTTCACCCCAGGAGTGGGTGGAAGGCTCACTTGCCCAGGTGCATGACATGCATTACAAGTAAACCCTGCATACCCGTTCTACGAGCCCAGCCTGTACACACTTGGCCAGCCTCATGCGACAAGAACGGCTCTGACTTTTTAATTAAAGTGAATGAATTTACTGCAAAGCTGAAACTTGGCACTAAATGCCAGCACAAATTCGGAGTATCCTAATGTTGGAAGATTACAGTCAAAGAGTGATTCTTGTGTGGCTATATTCCTTTTATTCCCTTACACATGCCTCTTTCTCCAAGCAGTCACGCCAGGGCGCCGAAGCTCGTGTAGATCCATCGATTTCGAAGCTGACGAAACTTCATTATGTGGAGGCACCTGCCATCCAAGTGAGGATGTTTGGTTCAAACGCGGTGAAGCCAAAATGTATCAACATATTCTGTCATATTCTCTAAATATGCGGATCCAAATTGAGACTGGTTTTCTGAAGCTGTTTAGGAGATGACTCGTATACAACTTGCAGAGGCTACGGAAGAACACACCCAATCAGGGCCAGGTGCGGGCCTTGTTGAAAGCATCGAAGTTGTATTCAGCTTCCAACTCCTGATCGATGATGTACGCATTGAGGGTTGAAACTCATCAGGACTTGACTTTGAAACACCCAAGTCATGTCTGAAAACTGCCGCGTCCAAGAAAAAAACATATACATATACATACTACTGTTACATATACATACATATACTATGTACATTCTGAGCGCCACCCCAAGTTTTGGACATCTCCTACATCAGCAAAAATCTTGGATTCAATTTCACCGTGAGGGAACGACAACATACCACTTCCCACTTCTTGGGAAAGAGCTGCAACAGCAAAGTTTTTCAGGTTGCACAAGAAAAGACATTCTTACTACATTGATTTACATCAATCTTCACAGCATGGGGTTAAGAAGCTACCGCCCATATGCAGCGATCAAGACAACAAGCGAGTCCTGACCGTCAGAGGTCTGAACCTATCGCAAAAGGTTGCAGGGTTTTGATGCTCTTCGTCGGCATTCGGCCCAAATCGTAAAGAATGCTTCCTTGAAACTTTTCATTGAATTCGGGATACAGCACTGATCAACACCAATTGGCTTGCAACAAAAATTATTGCACTACGAAGCCAACGCTACTTGAAAGCCCTTCTTGGAATCTTGAAACAAAATTCAAGGGACATTTTCTTGGCTCGAGATTTAGATTCTCACAATAAACATGTTCGCCCTGCTGAAAGCGCTTGTTGTTTCCAGTTTCAGGCCATCTGGAATTTTGAGAAACATCGAACCGGAGTAATTTAACTTAATTGTAGTTAATTATGTTAATTGAAGATCTTGCGGCTGTGCTCCATCGTTCTCCATTGTTCTGCCACCTTCGCCGTGTCCCATCTTGTCTCATCTTGTCCCATCTTGTCCCCGCCTCGTTGGCCGCATCGCCGAGGTTGAAGTGCTCGGCGTTGCCTTGCCTTGGTGAGAGGTGTCAGGTCCATGTGGTCCATGTAGGACCATGTTCCACCGCATTTTTGCAAGGACACTGAAGGAACTAGCTGAGACATGTTGAGACCAGAATGTTTCCCTTCCGTTTAGCAACTGGAAAACAAAGCACTGCAGTCCAAACAGCCTCACCCGCATCCATGATGTTTCATGATGTTCTATTGCTGAGCACCTCACGTCTCCACCTGGAAGCGGTGGGGTTTTTGACTTTTCCCAACAGCTGAAACCGTCGTTGCCATCTTCAGCCGCTCAGCCAAGCCGATGTTTATCCGGATCACATCTGATCACCATCCCCAGAGCACCTCCTCACCCGAAATGCTTCGCAAAAGCCACATGACCCGCTTCGCGCTGCTGCGTGGCGATCCACGTGCAGGGGAAACGGCTGTAGAGCCACACAATGCTGCAGTGGTTGAAATTGAGACCACAAAAATCATGGAAACCAATCTGGAGAATCCCACTTGGCCCCTGGCGCCGAGCTGAAAACAGAAAAGATTTAAACAAATGAGGCTACTGTATTTTTGGCTACCTCGTTCCTTTCCTCTCAACTCCAAAACAAAAACCTGGAGCGGAAACCGACGTGAATACACTGACATCGTCGCTGTGAGAACCGAACACAACAATGTTACATCAGTTTTCAAGACCATCATTCCAACAACTCCACTGCAGAAGCACTTCTCACTGCCAATCACTGTGAGGCGGACTTTGGAACCATCATCTTCTTCACCCGGCAAGGCAAAGATGGATTTGGATCTCTTTCCTTCAGGGGCTCACCAGTCAAATCATGGAAGTTCAGATCCTGCAAGAACCTCTGCAGCTTCAAGAAGACTGCACTGCCCTTTCTCAGGTTTGGAATGTTCGCGACTTGTTCAAAGGCATGCAGTATACTATACTAAAGGTTGACCGAGCCAACTCCAACTCTCATGACTCTGAACCAAGCCTTCTTCTTCAGATTTGTCTTCCTGTTCGTCACAAAGGACTTCCAAACACATAAAGCCCAAGACAAGTCCGCGACAAATTTCATGTTTGGTCCGAGAAACTTCTGGCTTGCGTCTATTGTTTTGTTTCAATCTCACAGTTGATCGTTGTTAACACCAGTTTCACTCGATTCTCAAAAGACATTGTGCGCGCATCGCCACGGCATATCCACAGTGAAATGCAATACCTGAGATCCAACATATTCCTTGGAAATCTGGAATATTGAATATTCCTTGGAAAAGAACCAACTGCCACGAGGCCTTGACCAAATTCAGAACTCGCCATTTCCCGCCTTTGGATTTGGATTATTTTGGATTCCTGTTTCTGGCACTGGCGAATATCTTTTGGGTTGGACTCCTTGGACGCTTCCCGGGGCTTCCGTTTCGAGTCCTTCACCAGGGAGTCTGCGGATGTGAACCGTTGTCGGCCTTGGAGGTCCCGGTGCAGCTTCCCATGGAATACATGGAATACACTGAGCATCACTGAGCTTTGTGCTGGAAAGTTGGCCTCGACCGGGTATCCTGCCACTGACCCCCCGAAGGATCCGAAGGATCCAAAAATATCATTGGTGAAGCGAAGTGGTGCATTCACTGCGTCAGACGTCAAAAGTGTTGGGGATGTCTTTGGAGCCGCATTGGCTGATGAATCACTTTTTTGCGGAATCAACACACTCCTCATGTACTGACTGCATGGTACTGCCTTCTACATAGCCAGTTCAACATCCGACTGACAAACTGGAGATCACTCCGTCAGAATGGCTGTCATCTATTTGTCCCTTCCAAGATCATGTCACGGGTTTGTCGGGCATTGTCGAATCATCTCGTGTGCCTCTAAATGGGCAAACCAAATTGTTGCCGCAACCCAGTCACAGAGATATCAAAGCTTTTCCTACTTAGCTGCAGTAGCTGCAGTCCTGAAGCACGACATCACAGAAGATGCCGAGGTGAAAGAGGCTCTCCTCACAGTGAAGTTGGAATCAACAGCCATATCAACAGATTCGCTTCATGCACAAACATCTGTGAATTACAAGATCTCATCAGCCAGCCCAGGTAGAATGAACTGCAATGGGGCCTCAAACGCCTCAAACGCGGAATTCTTTGAAGATCCGCAGCTCCACCCCGAAAATTGTTTGGGTACCTTGCCTCATCACCTCAATGACACTGCAAAGAGATGACTGAAATATGACTCAATTTCACCATGTTCACCACGGTTCATCACGGTTCAGCATGGTTCACCCCCTTCACTCTGTCCTGATCGAGTTCCTCCTGACATAGTCCTTGGAAGGACTATTCCTGGCTTCAGGTCTGTCGCCCCGGCTGGAGGTGCCATGACGGGAGCGGCGAAAGGAAGGCGACGCCACGCCGTCCAAAATGCGCTGCAGACGACTGGCCTGGAGCCGGAAGCCATGGAAGGACAAGAAATCACAAAGTCATTCCTCAAGTCTTCAAGTCATTCTTCCTTTGACTTTGATGCTTTCTGGGGGCTGTGCCCGCAAGCCAACCAAGTCATTCCCGGACAACAAAAACAACTTCTTTCAGGGTCATGTTTTTCGCACAAAACCTTTGGTGCACAAGATTGCAGGAGCAATCGTGTGCTTGAGAGTAGAGGCCAAAATGAAAGTCATGTCACTATGACTGCTATACAGGGATATCTGTTTTGTCATCTAAACCTCAAAAACCTCAAAAAACATCAGAATCTCATCCTCTGCTTTGACACGAAATTTCCTGCAACGTGCCTCCGACTCCCGCATGCTCCATGGCCCTGGCGGCATGGAGCTTTTCTTCGGCCCAGCTGGTCTGGTGGGGCGGCGGCTCGGGCCACTCGGGGCACTGGGGGCACTGGGCATGGGGCCATGTGGCGGCAGGACATCTGGCTCCAGTTCTGCTCCAAGAGTCGCAAGAGCCATAGAACTTGTGGCGTCCTGGCGAAGTTGCTGAAGGTGGCCATGGCAGTAATTTCTGAATTTTCTAAGAAAACAATGTTTTCTTCAATGTGTGGATCAAGAGTTCCATAGTTCCCCAATTTCCGTCCTTCTCATCGAGACTGATGGACTCGAAGTCCAAAATTGGAAGTGCAATTCCAGCTCTTGGAATTTCATTGGCCACTTTTGGCCCATCTCCAGTTTCGAAGACGGTGGCTATCTGCCGACATTGGGCAAATAACGTGGCCACGTAGCGCTCCACAAAGCTCTGGAATTGCATTTCATGGCGGCGCTCACATGGCGCTCCATCGAACATGGGAGAAACTCTCCGAGCAATACATTTGTGACCGTTTGTGACCTGCATTTGTGAGTCATAGAGTCATAGAACTCATAGAATCAGTGGAAAATTGGTCCAGCCTGGGTCCAGCAAAATCATGCAAAATCCAGGATTTGGTCATATTTGGTCTAGGTTTTGATCTAATTATATACTCAACCTGTACTCAAGGCAACCACCGAGATATCCAGCGGAATCTTCAAAGTCCAGCATCTTGTGCCCTACTTTTGTGTCTGATGATCTGGCACCGATGTGACAAGGGACCATTGCAGTTGCGACCCAGAAGCTTTTTTGATCATGCTGCAATGCTGCGACATGAATAGCATTGAAGTGTTCTCTGCAAGGCAGGGATTTTTGAGAACCATGGTGGATTTCCAATGCCATTTTTCGGAGTCTGCTCAAACTTGCCAGTTAAGGGACTTGCTTGAAGCAAGACGCTAAAATAAACAATCTAAATGGAAAAAACGCACAGCACTGCAAACAAAGAAGGAACAATGTCAAGATATGTCAAGCCTGGAAAGCAAACATCGTGATGCTCCTTTTCCTATTCTTTTCCTGCTGCCCCAAAGCTGTTTCGGAAAGGATATATAGCTGAACTCGGCTGAACTCCACCCAATGCTCCCAAGGATTTCTGCTCTCGCCATTGCTTTGCCTTGGCAAAAACAGGACTCCTCTTTGTGAGCCTGTGCCACAACGCCCTACGGTATCCTACAATTCATTCCGAATCATTTGCTGAACTCTCTTCAAAGACTCTTTGGCATATTTCAGGTCCTCGTGCGATATGTCACACCATTTGAGGTTGGATGTGTGTCTGAAAGGTGTGTCCACCAGTTTCGAATGAATCATGGTTTCGGAAAGCCCAACAACCGGGCATGGTGCTACGCTGCAGCCTGTCCTTGGAGTGCACCATGAACATTCCTCTGCTCAGTATCGAGCCAAATTGACAGTTTTCAGCTTCTCGGGGCCGTTCTTTGATATGCCTTTGATATGCTTGATCAATTCAGTCTTGACAAAAAAAACAAAAAACATGTTTCAATTTCATTCGATGCTGCCAGTTTCAACATAAACATCACACATCCCTAGGGGATTGTCTAACAAAACAGAAAACAATTGATGATTGGATGTAAATTTTGTAGGTCTTGATCCCAGCACGGCCTGCTTTCAGCAAAATAATTTTACTGAAAACTCTCGGGTCGTCGCCCATCAACTTAGGTCCCAGCCATCTTCAAAGCAATGCGCTTGGATCAAAGCACGGTCATACTCCTGCAGCGAAACCCATGCAATGGAGGGACATGGCAAGGAACCACCCCGTGATGGACAAATCTAGCAGGACTTGGCAACTCAATACCCAGAGGGAAGTTGTTGGTTTTCTGAGATCTTCCGTGACTTTTGCAAATTGGCCCAAGGTCATTGTGCCCCCCACGGTTTTATCATACAACACGGCGTAGACATCTTTGACAAACTTCGAGGCCTTCACGCCTTCACGGAAACTTTGTCACCTTCCCAATGTGCGGTGTATTCCCTGCCTGCAAGGCTGGTTTGCGAAGCAGCTCATCGCATGGGTGGTGGTTGAAGGAGTCCTGGGCTCCAAGCGAAGCTGCAAGGGAAGAAGAGAATTGTCAAGGATGCCCAAAATGCCATCGAACTCCATCCAACCGTGCAGACCGACTTCCCATCACTTCCTCAAAGTGTTCCTGTTTCAATCTGGGCTCCCCGTCCTCCCCTGTGAGGAAGGCAAAATCTTTGATGTCACGGTCGCAGCAACCCATACCTCAGAGAAAGTTGGATTCGAAGAATGGGATTTCTGAGAGATAGGGCCAAAATGGGCCAAACATTGAGAAGTTCATAGAAGTTCCATTACCTTCCACCATGGGCTCCTGAGGTATCGAACCCAAGGCGTCCATCTCCGAGTTGAAGCACTTCATCAACTCCTCCTGGGAGTGGACTGTGCCAGGTGAAGTCAAGAGAATTGATGCCCAAAAGTACTGACATGTGCTGGCACCAGTCACTACAACTTCCTCACTCTTAGTCCCAAACTATCCCCCATGTACCCCCAATGCCCCCAATGTTCCCAGCATATTGGCACTTGAATGCACTTGATCACTTTATAAAACCTGGAAATCTTGAACAAATCTTGAACAAATCCGAACAAATTCAACTAGTCAGTGATCACAGTGATCGCAGTCATAGATAGTTAGAAGATGTTAGAAGTGGGCGCTCAGAAACAAGGGTTTGCCATGGCTTGCCGCACATGGTTCACCCCAACACAAGCTGGGATACACGAAGGATTATCAGGCCGACCCTGGGGCTGCCCACACCAGTGGGAGGTTCTGGTCTGGCCTCAATCCCAAACAGCAAATCTGGACGATGCTTGAGAAGCTTGCAGTTGCGAAAGCCAAATGATCGATATATGGCAGTGTGTCAAAACCCTTGTACCCCTGGTGAACATCAAAATAGCTGGTAAATGGATGTTCATTCCCCTAAAAATGGTATTAATAGGTATTGATCCATAGCCATATGATTGGTTATCACTGGGTATCAAAGAGTAGCAAGGGGTGTCTTCAACCCGAGGGCAGATTTTCTTGCACTCAGCGACTAACTTCGTTGAAGTCGTCTTGCCGGAAACTGCAAGGGACAAAGCTGACAGTTCACCCAATGCTCATCGTTTCCCCCGGAATGATACCACACACGTCTTTGGTAGTTGAACATCTGGCAATAGAGAGATTGGAGGTAGAAAGGGAATTCATGCAGAGTGACCGAGCAATTTGACTGTCATGAATCCAGGATGACCTCCAAACCTCGCCGAGTAATTCTTGCAAACCTCCCAACCCCTTGATGAAATTCCCCAGTTGTCACTCCGCCTGGTGCAAGCGCCCGTGTAGCGCTCACCAGCAAAGTGATGCAACATGACCTGTCACAGCTTCCCATGGAGTCCTCGAAACGGCATCTGAAGTGTGGATGTTCAGCCGACATTGATTCAAATGTCAAGCACATCCAATCGACATGCACTCAATGCAACTTTTTCTCAATACGTTTTGAGTACAGTATGATAGTAGGTGTCTACGCCCACAAATCTCCAGAATTGGAAATGATGTACTGCAAAAGGTCCGGCAACCACCAATTTTCAGACAAACCCTCTGAAAAAAACATCGCTGATTGCTGGCTCCATATCACACCTCGTACATGCAGCCATTGTCTGCCCATGGCCATTCGCCGGTACCTTACAAACCCAAACCCCATAATTCTTCCTGTCAAGAGCCACCAAAGTTACCACAATGAAACAGAATTCAGGCGCATTAAAGCACCGACAATTATGAGTTCGGATTAGGAATTGAAACCAAAGGAACAGTCTATGGACGTGCTGTGAACTTTCTAGAAGCTGGCTTTTTCCTGACGTGGATGAATGCACTGAATCTCGATATTCATCAAGACTTACAAGGTCTTACAAGACTTCCGTATGACTTCCATCAGTTTTCTCAATATTTTCACCGAAATTCTTTCTCCACTTGGCTCCCGAACGACAGCCTCGCCTCCAAGCGGAGAAGAACCTTTTTCCGGGGCCATCTTCGTCCACCTGCGTGTCACCACAGGTGAACGTTTGCCAAAACAATCACCAAGGAACTGAACTGTTGGCCACAACGTGCCTCAACAGCCTCTCAACAGCCTCTCAACAGCCTTTGGACCTTGTCGCTATGTGTTGCTAATGCTTCCATGCAATCTTTACTGGATGTGGACCGCAAATCTGCAGATGACTGTTCAAAATGTTCAAATCTTAAGTTTACCAGGTAAGCGGTCAATCTGTGAAGGTTCAACCTCTCTGGGAACTCTGGGATGACACGGCAACCAATCAATCGCACAAATCTTTCCGCCAACGGAAAGCCCTCCTGCAGGAAGAAGACGCCATTGTTCAGTGATAGCGCCTCGCATCAATGCACAAAGCAATGCCATGATGAGGATGATGGTGGTCATGGTGGTCATGATGGTCATGGTGGTCATGATGGTCATGGTGGTCATGAATCAAATGTCTGATGGTCCTAGTTTTCGGGCGTTCTCAAGTGACCAAAAATACATGTTGCACGAAATAATACGCACGAGTAGCGAAGTCAAATACGGGGGCTGTGTGGTTCCAACCCAGTCAGCTGACTAGCCGTCACTAGCCATCTTTTGCAGAACCCACAGTTCTTGTTTGAGAGATTTTGAGAAGGAGGTCTTTCTTCCAGGAAATACTAAGTCTTCCACGTTCTCTGTGAAAACCACAGGCCTTGGTCGACAGTGTCTGGTACATACCTACAACAAGCTTGGCCAGGTCTCAGACTGCAAATCCGACTGAATCGTGCCGTGACACCCACAAAAAGTGAACATTACGAAGGAATTCTTCGAGTTCTGCTTTGGCAACTTTTATGTGAATGCAACAGGATCGCCTTGTCATTCAGAACAGCCTTCGGACAGGGATGCTTTTTGGATATGGCGAAGCTGAGCTTTGTTGGCCAGGTGCCCGGACGCATAGTTCGCTATTGCCACAAAGTGGGTCAAAGGAATCTCTGGCCGCATGATGTGAGTGTCAACCTGCCAAAACAAGCCCTCCGCCGACTCAGTAGTGAAGATCCAATGTCCAATGTTTCAACGATAGTCTGAATTTGTTGGTCCTTGCTGATATGGAGGATTATTTCTTTGTTAGAAGTTAGAGGTGTGTGCTGGGTACGAATTCCCTTGCTGAGCTGCAAACCATTGCAGTGCATCAATACTCATGTTGGTCACAGCTCCAAATGATGGAAGCAAATGCACTGCCCAGTTGACTACTGTTGCTTTTGGAAATGCCATGGCAGGAGGGATGAGAAACTAAAATATCAATTTTCGAAAATTTTCGCACAACTTGTAGGACACTAGCCAAAAGGCCCAGCTGAGTTTTCGACATCGTGTCAAAAAATGTAGTCACCTTGGCATAGGGCTCCAAGAAAGTACTCCCGAAACTGCACTTAAACATGATACACCAATCAGAAAAAACATCTTGCGCAGCCAAGTGGCGCGCGTGGCTGCCCGACTTTTGGAGCTTCCTGGCACAAAGATATGAAGCTCTTGATATGAACCGCTGGATAGGCCCCGCGGCCCCATCCTACAAGGTTTTTACTCTACGATTTATTCGTAAAACGCCACAAAGTGCTCTCTCCTGACCAGAGCTCAGTGCCAGCTCTCCGAGCCTCACGCGCTTCCGGATCTTCTTCAACGCCTCACAGACTTCGTAGTCGTTGCAGGTTTGCAGGTTTTGCAGGTTTTGGGAGTGGCAAAAAAACCACTGCAGCTGCAAGTCGCGATCCTTCCACAAGTAACATCTGGAATCGGCGGGCATGACACATATTATAGAGACGAGCAAAACTGAGACCTGTTGAGAAGTTTTGCTACCTTTTCTTTAGCAACTACAGAATTATGGATTGTCAACATACAATGCTGGGGAGAGGCAACCTGCATCTTTTGCAGTCGCTGTGGCGGAGTTTTCGGAGCTGGTTCTTATCCCACCTCCAATTTGCAATAGCGGAAATCGCCCCTCCAACGAAGTGGTCGAAAAGCGCCACCTGGGCTGCGCAGCATTTTCTTGGCATCCGTATTCGTGGAACATGTTGAAGCAATGTTTCATAGCATCATGTGACGCATCATGTTCAGCCTGTTGAACCCACAGCTAGCTGCAGAAAGAGACAATATGTTTTCTCAGCGAATCATGCTTGGTGTCTTTCAATGCACAAGCTGCCAAAAAACAGCTGAGCAAAAGGGATCAAGCTAACCAAGCTTCCCGCAGTCAATGGTGTTGTCGTTGAACACCTTTGCAGGTTGCAACTTTGTGGCAGAATTGTGGGGATTTTGCTCATGAGCCACTAGACAACGCAATCCAACACCAGGTGAAATGAGTGACTAGATCCGTGGTCTTACTGACACGAACAGTTTCAGAAATCAAGACATAACAAAAGATCCAAAGTAGAGCTTTGGCCCAAAGGCACCAAGCTTGTATTTGATAGTGGTTCAACAGTGATTCCTATTCTGTGTGGACTCACAGCTTGCCACATGTCCCGGCACCTCAAAGGTATATCCCCACCTTTTGGCGTAGGCTTCCTGTGATCGGAACTGCAGTCACTGCAGTCACTGCCTGGTTGGGTCAACGCAGCTGCTCGCCTTGGCCTTGAGCGATGCATCAAATGGATTCTCGTAGTTCTCATCCTTGGCGCCGGGCCAAGCCAGGCCAAGTGTGGCTCTTGGAGTTATGGAAGATCATTGCCCGAGTAAATGATTCGTAGCAATTGCTACAAAGGCCTCCTAACCCTCACGCCGACCGTTGAGATCAGCGATTCACGCGAAACCACTGACGGACCCAACTGAGGCAAAAGTCGCCATGTGGATCCTGGCATCAACATGTGCGGTCAGTGGCTGTAAGAATTTCATCGAACATTTTGGAACTCTGACAGCTCGAGAGAATTCTGCCTGGGACTTACGATCAGGATGCGAATCGAGTTGGCAACACACACACACACAGCATGGGATGGTCAATGATCTTTGGAAAGAGCATAGAGCTGACGGAACTGACAGCATGTCATGTCAAGGTATGTCTATTCTCATAAACACATTTGAAGTATTTAAACACCCTTTCGACATCTTTCAACCTGCTTCATGGTGCATCCCGCATCATCCCGCCATATCAACCGCTTGGAAACCTCGTCTCCAAAGCTGCGACATCAGCCTCAGGGTTGTGGCGCCAGCTTTGATGTTGGGGTGCCTTATGGTGCCTTGGGAAAACTACGACCGCTGAGATTTTCCTAAAAACTTGCAGAATGAAAGAGGGAGGGGAAGAGGAAGAAGACCTTGAGACCTTGAGGCTAATTCCATCTCTTATATGAAAGGATTCATTGCAGGCACCACCTGGTCCTGATCTTTGAGGTTCAGCCAAGAAGATTGACAAATACAAAATACACTAGTTCCAGTCACGTTGAACAAATCTGGCATGAGGGTCAGGCTACTTCCATGTTTGATATGATGCCACTGTGCAATGAGCTCAAGGTGAATCGAAGGGTCAGATCATGTCAGATCACTGAGTGCCAGGCAATTGCAATCGACACAAGTGCGGTGCGCACGAATTTGGAGAGTGTCATGCATTCGAGTAAAGCTACATCGGCTGATTGTCAATGTCCAGAGAACTCATCTGATAGTCACTGCGCAGTCACTATATGTCACTATCTTGCCATGTTCGAGGTAGAGCTGCTACATAGTTTTTTGGCATCTTAGTGGACAAGCACCCAGCTTGTGGCACTGTTTCCACTCATGGCTACTTTGTAGGTGTTCTACTGCACTTGGTTGAGAGGCATGGTGTGGGTATGCAGTTTCACTATGATTTACTACGTTTTGATCAGAACAATGCGCTCATCACCTTCCGTCACCTTCCGTCATGTCCCAAATTGACAGGATCTTTGTCGAGCAACCGGTGGATGCACTGAACCACACCAGCTTCCACCAACGAGCTTGAAACAGGTAAGGCTCGAAATCTGCTGAGCTCACCAAAAGAAAAGGTGTGCAATAGTAGATGATATCATGATGATATATCCGGTGTACACAAACGCAGTACACACTTTCTGCGCTTTCACAAGGCGCACTAGCAAATTTGAATAACTTCGACAGCTGTGACTGGATCCAGGATCATACAAACATTGGATTCATAGCCATTTTATTTGGAATTCACATTGCATTTTTTTTACAAAGCAACTACACATTTGCACAGATTATTACACATAATATACACATACTGTCACATACTGGAACTGTTTTGTATCATGGCTGCAACGAGTTAGTTCTTGACGACTCTTCTCAAAGTACCATGATGACTTCAGTGATGCACCGATGGAAATGTTTGCAAATTTATAGCTGCTCAATGTTGCTCATTTATACGCAAACCCTAGTGGAGACCAACAACTGCAGCCACCCTGGTTGCCGCAGGCACGCATTTTCATGTTCAGAGACACGGTGAAAATGCGTTGCACACGGCGTCGGTTGCTACCGGGTCAGTAGGGCAATGGCTGAGTGGCTGTCGCCTGGTGGTTGATGTTGATCATTGTTGATCCCTTTAAAAACCATCCAATGGTACAGCTACAGGGTGACATTGACAGTTGCAGATTGCCAACGTGGGTCATGCAGAATGCCAAGACACAACTGACACAACTCAAATCAACTCATCTTGGGCCCCGTCCCAGGGATACATCGGTGGCATAAAGCTGCCTGGTGAAATGGCACGAGCTGAGAGCTACTTTGAATGCTCATCCGGGGCTCGATAGGACCCATTCCGACCTTCGCTCTCTTTCAGATGGAAAAAAAAACACTGGAAAACTGGTTGAGCTCAAGCAGTTTCATTGTCGGCAAAACTCTGAATAGATCCGAATAGTCTATGCGATGCTGCTATCTGAGTATGATTTCATCCAAGCCTGGTTGTCCAACCTCAGCCATGGTCAGGTGATGGGCCGTGACGTTGAAAGTGCAGGAATTCGGTGGGTCCAATTTGTCCGGTCCCCAATGGTCAACACCAAGCCAGTTCAAAATCAATTTTTGCACCAGTGACTCGAATAACTGCCCAAAGTCAAGTGTGAGCAGAACCTGAAGAAATGAAACCAAACGAAAATGGTGTGTTTGTGTAGTAATTCTCTGGGTGGCCTTTGAAATACCCACTCAACACATGCGGTGCTCGTCAGTTTGGTGAGTCCATCCAGGAATATGAGTTGAAACTGTCGAGAAGTGTCCAGTTATTCTACCAATTCTACCAGATTATCAGCATGACCGGCAATGAGCCCACAGTTTTGCACCAGAACCTGGTGTTTCTTTTTTTGGCTCCAGCCGAACTGATGTGGTTGCAGAGCGAACACAAATGGACACTCTACAAACCTTTGACGCCTCACTTAGTATTCTATCCTGGTGGTGGGTCTTATTTCGCGGCGTGACACGCCAATACGACACTTTTGCTGGAACTGACCCGATACATTTCACTGCCAAGATGCTCCCACCCAAGGGGCTGTCGTCGGCTTTGGCCTACAGAGGAAAACCAACTGAAATCAGGATGTGAAGATTTACATAGTAAATGATTGGAAAGTGCTGCAAATTGGAGCTGTATTGTGCACGCTTGTATGCTCATGCGCAAATGCAGGTAGGTTTGCAAGTTTGTATGATTCTGTATGTGCACATGCATCATATCGAGTTGTTAATCACTGGTCTTCCCTTGCAAACTTTCTGGAAGCTTGCAAACCCAAAAATTCCGGCTATATGCAACACTGGAAAAAAACCTCACAGCAACATGTGCCTTTAGAGGAACCTGCAACATCCATGTTGGTGTAATGGGCATTGGGGCATTGCAGTTCTGCCTCCTGTGGTGCTTTCGTCCTCACACTACACTATGCTTCAACTTGTGCTTACGTGGTGGTTTGGGTTGGTGGTTTGGAAGTCTGGGAATTGATGGTTTTGTAATCAAACCCTGCAAACAATGAAATCGTTGAAAATAAAGAAAACAAATTTAAAACAACAATGATTGCTAC